GGAATGGATGTTCTACTTGGCGTTAAGGACTGTGATAGATACCGGTTAGGAAAAGTGTTGTGAAAGACGAGCTTATATCTTGAAAAAGTACAGAATTTAGCCGCTTGTATTCCATCACATCAAAGCACCTGTCCCAATCAAATTCTACATGTCACCAACAGTTTCATGTGCTCTAAATGGATGGTGTACTTCATCAAGTATACTATATATCACCCATTCGTTCATAGCCCCCTGTATCTTCATATCATTCCATACCCCCTCAACTTCTCCCTTCGCCAAAAATAATTATCGTACAGGTCATCCCATGCTCTATCGAGATCCAAACATCTTTCCAGTATTCCTCCCTCCACACCTTATTAGATCCATTTTATGCAACGCGAGGAAAAGAAAATCGATAAAAGGCCACCGCCAATGATACGTGCAACGCTAGGGTATTCAACAAACATGCATGCATTTTTCGTCATCTTGGAAAAGTAAGGAGAAAGTCGATTGTTGCAAGGACAAATTCTTAAAAAGAAAGGCTTTCGATGTGTTTTTGAGGCGGTTACTGGATGGTGGGAAACTCGTGGTCTTGGTTGTAGTTGATGATATTTCGGCTTCCGACTCTTCCGTTCTATGTTGTGCAGGCGATTGTATGGCTTGCCATCCTCTTGACCCGTATACGATGGAGGTAGTTCGAGGGTAATGTCTTTCCACAGAAAGTTCGAGAGTCTATCATACTCCCTCAAAAGCCAATTGGGCTTAACGGTTTGATCGGACTCAAAGGCCTCATATCACCATTCCTCCTTGGCGGCGTCCGCTGCTCCACCACCGTTAGATTAGTGCTGACGGTACTCATGCTTCCGGAGCTTTGGCTTAAAGGCAACTTCTTAGCGGCATTCTGTGCCTGGGTCGACTTTTGACCTTGGTTATCAATACTCACACTGGAAGGCTTGCTGCTATCCGAGCTTGAAACATTCCGCTCATCGTGGCTTTCAACCGCGATGCTACTCTGACCCTCTGCGCTGCTTGGGGGCTGGATATCAAAGAGCAGATACTCCTGCTCTGTGTAGTACCCCTCAGTCTTGCAGCCTTTCCAACAGTCTCTCCAATCGCAAACGAGAAATTTGAAACAAAAGGCGTCAATCTTCATACAGGGTTGGAAACAAATACATAAGTTTCGGAAGTCCATTTTGTTCTTTTCGGCGTGGGCGAGTAGGAGGGAGAGATGGCAGGTAATGGCAAAGAGGAGATAGTAGTTGAATGGTGAGAGATTCGATAACTCATCAATAAGCAACTGTGGAACAGTTTCCGAACCATTGCACTCTCTTGCTACCCGATCTTGGGCAGCTTTTGGTAACAGCTCATCGGGAAGCTCACGGAGCCAAGCCTTCAACATGGATCCGATGATATTGATATCATATAGGTCGTCTTGCTCGAAAAGATCGATATCAAGCTCTAATTATTGTCAGCATATGCATGGTCAAAAAATGATCTTACTGACCCTCGTCAAATCTCCTCTGCCACCTTTTGATTTGCGGTCCGCTCCCAGGTACCCGATATAAGCCCTCAACATCACTACCCTTGTAGTTCAGATAATCAATAGCCCTCCATGGAAACGCAGGCATCCAGAACTCGGTCTTGTCCCTGGAGTCTTCCAATTTCTTGGATATCCGCGTAAGTCGTGTCTGCTCAATAAGCGGTTTATTGATGACTTTTAACTCGTAATGCTCGTCATCCACTGGCGCTTCCCTCTCATTCGTGCTGCCACTTCGACTCCCCTTTCCAAAAAGGCCCTTGCTTATAGCACCTGCGCCCTTTGTTGCGGAACTCTTGAGGTTGTTCAAGAAATTATGAGACCCGCCGCCGTCCCGTGAAGAAGACGAAAATCCTTGGACCCGTCCATTATGGTTTGTCTCCTTCACCTGAGAAGGCTGCAGTCTTCCATTCTCCTTGCCATCCTTGCCCCGTGATGAGTCTCTTGTTTGGGTATGCTTTCGATCTTCAGAATGTTGCCGGACATTCGAACTCATCATTTCTCTAAACGACCGGTCGGATTCAGTTCGTAGGGGAGCAGTTCTGAGAGAATTGCTATGTGCGTGTGAAGTCTGTGCTCGTTCCGGCGCGGTGGGTTTGTCGGTGGGGGAAAGCTCGCGGGGGCTTTGTTCGTCTCGTATCGACTTTGTTCTCCCCAAAAGACTGAAGGGTTTCGGTTTGTTTTTCTTGAGGATGTTCGGATTTGAGGATGCGGGTTGAGGATCTGCTGTGGTATTCAAGGAAGTATCTGATTTCGCCGCACTGCCGACTGGCTTTCTGATAGTGGATCGATCAACGCTGGATTCTAAAAATACAAATATCAATTAGTAGTTGCATCCGTAGAAATTGAGCAAGAGAATAAAAGGTCGTACCAGTCCTGGCATGCTCCTGCGATGGAACCCTCCCGGTCATGGCGGGTCGTTCTGTGTCTCTGGACATGCTGTCCTCGGTGACTTGTCTAATAGTAGCTGAATTCTGAAGACGACTGGAACTCTTCGAAGCCTTATAATTGGAAAAGAAGCCAGTTCTGGCAGGCCGGTCTCGTTCTCGTTCTTGTCCTTTTTGTCCAACGGCCGTGTTTTCGGAATATTGTTGCAACGAGGGTAGGGAGACGATGTTCGGGGAGGGAGGAAGGGTGGTTCGGGGTGGCTGCGACTCGGTTGGTTGCAGCTGTATAGACGGGTGCTCGCCTTGATATTGACCTTTCTTTGTGCTGAGTCTGAAAGGGGATCTTGGGGATTTCGGAGAGATGGGGCTCAATGGAGACTTGGGACTGGGACTGTCGATGGTCGAGAATAGCTGCTGTGATTGAGGGTTATTGAAGTTCGATCCGACACCGAGACTCAGCGGCTGGGGAGGGTTAGATTTGCGAGCTTGGTGAGCCATGTCTTTTTCAAAGCCCATGCTGACGATGCGATGCGAGGCGCTGCCTGCGCTGGTCTGGTTTGGCCGGGTTGGTCGGGTGCTTCGTCGACGCCTCAGCTCCTCCTTCTGGAGCCTTTTCGATCGCTGGCCGGCTGGCGGGCGTCGTGGTCGTCTCGAGTGCACAGCCCTCCGAGTGCCAGGTGCCAGGGACCTTGAATCGTGTTACAGATGCGTAGATCTATTTAGAAAAGGGCTGGTGCTGTCTCCAGCAGACGACGTTGACAGATACAGAGGTGGTGCGTGCGAAGCGCGGCGGCGGAGACTGTTTTAGACTTTGGTGCACATAACGATGATACACTAGGGGTGAAGGAATGAGGAATGAGGAATCGGAAATAGAAATAGCAATAGCAACAGTCATGTCAATAGTAATAATCGAACGATAAGGAGGGTGTGAGATACGGAATAAGGTGTGAGGGTTTGTAGTTGCGAGTGTCCAGATGGCGGTGAATTGCCTATTCCCATAGGTAATCTCCATGCGTCTTGTCCTGTCCTATACAATTCTATGTTCTTTCTATAGCAAAAGTCACATCTACAACAGTAGCATCAGAGATGAAACACGAATAATGGGACGGCGTATGGAATGTGTTATGCTGGTTACGAAGAGTAGGGGAAAGTTAATCAGGGGTAATTTTATTTATATGCCATTCACGCCGTAGATGGTACCTGAATTGAAGTCGGGACTCGGGAATCTCAGAGTACTCTGTACATGCAGCAAAATACAACGTCGTGATCTAGTCAGGCTTAGAGAGGTATGTACTAGGTCACATGGAGGATCGGGCAACATTTGATATCTCGAACATGTTCTGTTTTCTAACTTCTCTTGATACATCACAACGCTGTCTTGGTATGGGGTGATGTTTATGAGCAGAGATTATGGTTGTGACCCCGAATCAGTATAAACGCCTTAGAAGTTGCTAAACGCTCGGCGATGCATGCATTCTATAACAAGTTGGACTAGGTCATTCTGGTATTCAGCCACCATTAGGTATATATTTCCTCCAAATCACTCATTATCAAATCCAAACCAATTACCAGATTGCATAAAGATAAAGGAAGTCCAGATCCAAATTGTCTCTTTGTCCTGTCTATCTCCTTTTTTATATACACAAAGGCGCTGTCATCATTAGTACCGACGCACGCACGCACCACGATCCAGGAACACAGATGTCGTCTGAAACACAAGAGATGGGAAACGCTGATTGGCAAACTTGCCGAGTATCCATTGTAAGGTAAGGTGAGCTTCAGATAAATCAAATGATATACATCGTTTATATATTCTTTCCAAAGTGCTTATACTACTAGATCCTATATTTATACTTTCCAAGCACACGAGCCGGGAAATCTACGCAGCTGATGATATTGCAGTTGCTGTTCCTGTCCAATCCAGTCACGTGAATCAGGTATTGCCAAAGTGGATGAGATGGTTCGATCGAGCATATAAAGAAGAAACATATTCCAACATAATCTGACATCTCATGATTTACATTCATTGCGGGAGGGATAAGTTTAAACGAGTCGTGCCCCTTTATACTGTACAAGTTTCGACCCAACCTGGGATCATGGAAGCCACCCCTTTGCAGTTGACACCCAGGATTGTTCATCTCAACATTCTATTCTCGCGTGATTATCCAAAATATCAAGCGTCTACCAAGAAACAAGAGGTGATATCTAAGATTCGAAATATTGAAGTCCTTCGGAGGTACAAACACGTGCAACCCCGCAGTCTGTCACCCCGCCTCTTGGCAGTCTCATTCCCAAGGTTGACATCCACTCTAGATCTTCCTTAGCAACCATGGCTCCACAACACGATCGAGAACTAGAAGAGTGGCATAAAGTCATCACACTCTCTCATCGTCCCGAAGCAGTAGACCCATTCTTCGGACACATCCTCTACTTCCCCCCCTCTCGGCCCATCCAGCCCTTATCTCTTTCTCATCGCCCCCTATCTTACGGCCGTTTTTCCACTTTACCACTAGAAATCCTACATCAGATACTTTCAAGTGTCGACCTACACACGCTAGGAAATGTACGCTTGTCAAACTATGCATTCAGAGGCATTGTCGACAGCTCGCCCGAAATCCGTGACCTGGTGCAGAACGCGGAGCAAGTGTCCCCCCTTTTACGAGCCTTAAGAGAAACATCTACGGATAAACGTCCTACTCTACACAACTTCCACAGCGAGCTGACCAGTGAGACATGTTTCTGGTGCGGTGACCACGGTCAATTTCTCTTCCTCATCAGATGTCGACGGGCATGCTTCAACTGCCTGTGCCGCAACAAAGAACTCCGCTTAATACCACTCGGCGACGAGCAGACGTTGAAGCTGTTCTGTATACCGAAAGGCAAAGTTAAAAGGCTACCATGTTTGACATACCCCAAGAACCTGTATTCGCGCATGCAAAGGAGGGTTAGTGGGGAGCTGAAGCTCTATCTCGCTCGCGACGTCGAGCGCATTGCTCTGGCGTCTTACAGAGGAGACAGGGCCAAGTGGTATGCAGACATTGAAAAGAAACAGGAGCTTCGCCGACAAAAAGCACGCATGAAATCCATCGATTTCGATGAACCGAATCCCATCTTCGCAATCGAGCCAGAGCGAGACCCAGCATATACGTTTGAGAGCCAACGCTCAAACGTAAATCCCCGATATGGATTACCGATTGGCGTAAGTGCGTTTGGGTACAAATGCCGTAAGTATGTCGGCACCATGCTGTTTCCGACTATCGATCCAAAGGAACGGGATGCTTTTGATAGAGTGAGGAATGGACTTTGGTGTCGAGGCTGCAACGATGCTGCGCTGAGATGGTATCAGATTGAGCGGAATGTGCCGACTATTGGGTTAGGTGAGGAGGATGAGGGGTGGGTAGCGGGGTGGGCCGGGCTGGAGCCGCTGGAGAGGAGTATGTTGAGGACGTGGAGTAAGGAGGCGTTTTTGGTGCATGTCAAGAATTGTGAGAGGGCGAGACGGATCTGGAATAAGATGAGGTCTGCGAGGGACCCGCTATGAGGAGCGAAGAGAGAGAAGGAAACCGAAGCATCCAAAGAGAATGTCTTGATCTAAGATACCTAATTCCAAAGAGAAATCGCGGTGAATGAGAGGCAGAGGTTTGATACGGCAAGAATACCGCAACTTGATTTGCCATTTCAGAAAGTAGGTGCGGCTTTTTATACAAGGCTTTAATTCATAGTCAGAGAAGCCAATCGAGTTCTCTTAGCTATCCTCGAGCGCTAACTAGAGGATCCAAGTGCTTCATCATATGATCATTTTTACTATCGACAAACCCAGAGAGTTTATAATAGAACAGGAAGCTCAATCTTCTATTTCGTATATAGGAAGAAGCAATTTTGACAGGTCTATGGATGTTCATTAGGACTTACTCCGTATCTCCTAAAGTGTTTTACGGCTGTCTTTACAAAGAGAAAAGTCTCCTACTTCGGAGTAGTGGATACTAAAAAGCAGTATGAAATTTATAGCATAAAGCAGAGTGGAGGCGTTTGCAGATACCACGAAGGAGAATATCAGTGGCATATGTCGGAAGTTCAAGAAGTGAGAAATGAAGCTGTCCCTATCCATCTCTGCTGAGCTGATCCTGCGCTAGATTCTGCATATTTCGAAAGATACGAAATTGGCGGGTGGCCATATGAAAATGCGATCGAGGGACCACCGTGGCGTTTCTCCATTTTATCTGCGCCTGCGGAAACTCCAGAGTGGGCGCATTCAGCTCGTTACACCAATATCTGCTCCAGTTTAAGCAGCTTTACAACCGTATGAACGGGCGACACATGGATACGGATGATGCCAAAGAGGCCTTCAAGGTATGATGGCCCACGCTGTTGCTACTTAATATAAGAAGGATACCAACCACACCGATATAGTATCTCGATGTCCTAGCCGACGAGCTCGACCTAAGGCGAGAGAAGACGGATAAGCCAGTACTTGGACCAGATGATCTCATCCTCCTCCTCACCCACTACTAGGCCCGAGACACATCTATATTTCCGACTAAAGATCAGCGTCTGGCACTTGCAACGATTATGCTCCTCCTGATCTATTCTAGCTGTCGACCAGCCGAGTTGGTTGATGCAGCGAAGAGGAACTATATAAATATTAAGCTAAATAACCTTAAAAATATCCTAATAGAAGGAATATAATTATTCTAGTTATCTATAAATAGAACTATATATAGATGCTTTTAGATTAGCTAGAGAAGATAGTTACTTCAAGCTATCTTATAAAGATAGAACTTTAATAGTTATATTAATAATTCGACTATTTAATAATTTAGTAATTTATAATAGTATTAGATTAAGCTGGATTTAATTCTAATATATATTAATAGTAGATAAGAAGAATTATAAATTATAATAAAAGACTATATTATAATAGATAGAGAAAGCAATCTTATTCATAAAAAAGAAAACTATTTATATTAGAATATAAGAACTATATTATAAACCACTTTCTAGTTATATAATTTAGTATAGCTTAGTTAGCAAAGAGGTATTACTTTTTTATATCTATAATACCACCTAAATGCTAAGTATTATTAACTAGAATACCTAGAATTAAGTCTATACTATATAGTAGAGAAGTGATCACGTATTAACACCTGTGATACTGATATTAAGATAAGATAAAAACACATCACTTAATCCTCCTCGGGCGCATAGGACTGTTAATATCTCGGTGACTGAAACGCGCCATGAAAATGTGCTAGCAAGTATTAGCAACGATGAGGATGGGACCTTGGGATGGAGTGGCCGCTACTAGGAACTGCTCCTACTCATCCCTCATCGCCTGATGGATGATGGACTTCATGGTTGCCATCCGGACCCGCAGTGATTCTATGCCAGCAGCCCAATAATTGTTCCTAGCAAGTGCCTTTAGCGCGTCAGGATCAGGATGATCCGGACGGGTTGATTGATGATCTGCAAAACATTCAGATGGCAAGTGTGCACCAGGAAATGCAACTCTATATTATGTAAATGGAAAAATACTCCGATTTCTTAGTAGCTACTCATAAAAAGATATGCTCTATGCTATCAATAGCTATGACCATGCTTCAATGTCAAGTCACACAGATGCGATATTTTTCTGGCCAACAGCTCCAGCGACCTTCGACACATTCAACTCTCGATTCTTTGCAGACATCCCTCACGTTGGTCGTCCCTGGCTTGCCTTCGAATTATCGTTCGAAGAAGCCTCCAACATCGTGTTAGACTCGCCCGGTGAGTTCCTCGACTTTTCACTGACACTAGGGTAGTCGGATGAGTGACAGGAGCTGTTCGGGCTACTAACACAAGTCAAATATTCGAATCGTTCCAGATTAGTGTGTCAGGGTACGAACGCAAACTTTCCAGCGTCTAATCAATCCTGTGAAGTCATCGCTAAAATGCACTCATTAGGCTGAAGACTCTAGCTATATTAAGCACGGAACGGGTTACTAAGTCTATTAGATAGGTTAAGGTTTTGGAATTTGGTCGCCGGCGTATATCTATACCTATCCCGTCCGTTCTCTAAATATATAGGATCCTTAGGTTATGATATAATCCATAGCCTTATAATAATATTCCCGGGAGGTTTACTCCTTAACCCTAAATCTACAGAAATCACGGCCCCTAAGATGGCCTAAGTTGATCCTAGATCTTATTCTTCGCAATAGCCTCCAACTCTTCCAGAATCTTATCCGCTTCAGCTTCGGGGTCTTTAGCTAAAGTGTTGAACTGAGTACTGGCTAGGTTAGCATAAGTGCCATGCTTTCTAACCCATTCCTTTAACTTTATGCTCTTTACCTGACTGTTGACTTGGAGATAGATCATGCGGAATCTGCTATTTAGCAATTCTCCCGCGTTGATTCTTAATTGGTAGTCTGCATTGTTCCTTTTGTTCTGCGAGGGAATAATGCGACTGCCTGCATTCTAGGCTGCTCTCAACTTGCTGGCTATGCTGAAGTTGCTCTTAATCTTTGAGAAGAAACCCTAGATATCTTTCGACATAGTTGCGGCGCGTTTGGATCTGCTGTTATGTCAGTTATGCGTTCTAGAAGGAAAAGAGAACCTTATAGAAAGGTCTGTTTTAGATTTTCGGGAATAGGAGGGTTTCCCTTATTAAACTGAATCCTGTAGAGTATAGTGAAGGCAGAAGATGTGAATATAGTACTGCTAGAATACGGATGGACTTAAAGGTATACTTATACTCAAGGGCCGCAATGTGATAGTGAGCTTAAAAACCACATCTCGATCATCGGAAACACAGATAGCCGCTGAAGTTTGATGATAACTATAAGTGTATTTCTAAGGAAGGTTCTCGACGCGTTATACAAGAGGAAAGCGATTGCACGGATGGACTGCTCCACCGCAGACCAAGACTGTTCTCCAATCCCGACATAGATATTGCCGCCCAGTCTCGAGAGCAGTGCTAGATAGCCCTTAAAGCTTTGATTGGGGATTAGCTTCACTGAAATGCTTCTCAAAGTAGATCGATGCTTGAGGGCGGCGGGAATATCTTTTGACAGACGTCTTCGACTAGGTCAAAAAAACAGGGAAGAGAGAAAACATTGTATCATGTTGGCGCCGCCCACAGAGCGGCGGCTAGAGAACAGTCTTAATGCTAGAAATAGCAAGTTGGGGTGGGGTTGTGGTTTGGTGAGCTTTTACCGGCGTCTCTTTTGGCGCTTCTTTTGGCGCTCAGGAGGTGGGATTTGGTCATAGGGTACGCTAGCACATTTGTAGCTTAGCACCTGAACCAGATTCTGCTTCGATGCCCTCTCAGCGCTCTATCGGCCGTTCGAACATTGTCGCACTGAAATGTGAGGGCTTTTCCACAAGTGTGTGTATATTCACATCCATTCTCTGCTCTCCACCTTCAATAATCGTTTCTCCTTGTAGCTATGTTAGGACGGCTGCGACGATTTTGTAACCCGGCACTCGCGACCCAGACCACGCACCCGGTTCTAGCGGCAACAACCAGCAGAAAAGCACTTCATACAGCCCCTTCTCTGGAAACTAAAGAATATCCACAAGACTGTGTGCATGATATACGCGCCATGAAGGATCTTGCTAATTGAATTCGCAACAGCGACTGATCCTTATCTCTATACTACCGGCCGCTGGCTGAATCGCGACAAGCTACAACGCGAAGCCCGTTACATCAAGTTCGACTTTCCCGCACTATGCGCAAAGGCTGTGAATGCATGCTCCGGAGCCACAAAAGTCATTCGGTATGAGAAGAAGGAGGGAGGTTTCAATAGAGCCTTCATTTTATACCTGGACAATGGATTGCGCGTCGTTGCTAGAGTACCCTTCCGTATTGCAGGTCCGCGAAGATTGGCCACCAACTCCGAAGTGGCCACTATGGCTTATAGTATGATGATGTCGCACTCAAAAGATTTTTGAGTCATCGGCTAATCCAATCTCCAGTAAGGTCCTTTACAAAGATACCCGTTCCAAGAGTCCTTGACTGGAGCGACGACGATAGTAATTCTATCGGCTCTGAATACATCATCATGGAACACGTGCCTGGAGTTCAGCTACATGAGAAATGGCATTCCATGAGTCCTCATCAACACATGCTGTGTGTCAAAAGAGTGACCTTTATGATGACTGAGATGGCAAAGCTTCTATTTCCGGCTTACGGAAGTCTATATTTCGCCGATGCGCCGATCGATCCGAAGTCAAAAATTGAATTCGTGAATGGTTTCTGCATCGGACCTCACTGTGGCACGCAATACTGGGACTGTAACGCTGGAGAGACTCGGTTCTATGAAGAGAGGCCTCCCAACAGAGGACCATGTAAGTTGATGCCTGTCCAGGAAAACCTTCACAAGATTGTATCCATGAACGATGTTAACGTGCCTTTCGTTAGGGACTGAACTACAATCCTATTGCTCTGGCCTGATTGATAACGGCTTCTCACGAATTCCAAGGGCCAACAATCTGGTAGATGAACTACCTTACCGCGGGTCCGTGCAAGAGCATCTCCGTCTCCTGAGCGTCAGCGAGAAAGTAATTACAGAATTGATCAAAGCCCCGATGATCCAAAAAGTGGCCAGTCCAACTTTGCTTCACCCAGACATCCACAAAAGAAACATTTACGTCTCGGAGGACGATCCTTCCTGCGTAACCGCAATCATCGATTGGCAATCTACCAGTATCGAACCTACATTCGTATATGCGAATGAGACACCGGACCTAGTTGAAGATCCCACGGCTGACATCCCAATATTAGAAAAGTTAATGTTATCACCAGGAGAACATCCTTCAAATGTGGATACATCTGAGGGATCTGTGGTAGAAGGTCCAGAAGAAGAATCAGCAAGGAAAAGACACGAGACAGATGTCTTGACATGCAAGAAAACCTTCGAAGTTATATTAATAGGCTACGCTCGAAAACTCCATGATGCCAGGGCAATGGATCAAACTCTGCTCAGGCCTTTCCGCTACTGCGATGCATCTTGGAGAGACAGCGCGGCGGCTCTGCGTCAAGAACTGACCGAGCTCTCGCAACGCTGGACCGAGCTAGGGCTTCCTGGGTCTTGTCCGTACCAACCTTCGCTAGAAGAGCTCAACGAGCACGCAAAGCAGTACGAGGATTTCGAAGGCATGCAGCAGTTGAAGATGTTCCTCAAGCGTGCCCTGGACGCGGATGCAGACGGATGGGTCCCCGCCGAGAACTGGGAAGTCGCAACGAAAGAGCATCAAAATATTTTCGCGCAGTGGATGGAGAGTATCAGGGATTCTGGGAGTAGTGAAGATCGTGCCAGAAAACTTTGGCCATTTGACCAGGTGAAGGGATAATGCATATTTCGGGCCTGGAACAAACCCCACCAGGCCAGTCGTTATGTAGAGGGTGCTCTGAGCGTTTTGATGGCATGACTTGATTGCTCTGAGAAAGGTGTTTGCGACAAGATACAATGTATACATACCCTCTTGTTCCTACTTATTGGCGTTCTCAGCCAGCTCAAATTAGAACGATGAGCGTCTTCCAGTTCAAAGCGTTGCCCCTTTTATGATGCACCACCTATGAACCTCCAATCTTAAGTTAGGGCTAGGGACAGCACCAACAGGCTCTTGACCGAAGATCACCCTACCACGGTAGTCGTATCGTTCCCTTTAAAACGAAGGACACCGAATTCCAGCTCCGCATCGATGCAGGCCATTACGACGCAAATACAAGGCAGCTCAACATCGTGTTGCAGGTTAACTCACAGGCTAAAAGTCCGGCAATGAAAGACTGGATGAAGACAAATTCAACTCACGGACAGCTTGCTACTGCATCGTTTGATACCAGTGCTAAGGACCCGGCCGCGGAGTATGTTAGGGTACTAAAGGCGCTGGAGGAGGCTGTGAAGCAGAATCTCGGATCGTGATTTGGTAAGACAATGCGATGTAGATCTGATTTATGGCAAATCTGTTTTTGGCTAGCCGCATATAGAATAAACGTCCATGGAGAAAATTCATTGTTGTATGGTAACCATCAACCGTCCAGTTGGTAGCATGATGGCCACAATATATATGTGTCTGTCTGTACGTGCAGTGTGTCACTGTGAGTGGCTCAGCCAGGTTGGCAATTCGAAAACTCGAACCGTTCTGCTTCAACTATAATATCTCGCCACATATCAAGTCACGAACATGAAACCAAAAATAATGAGTATACAAAGCTGCGAGAAATCTAAGACGGCTTTGCCGCAGCCGTCAGAAACATGCCAGCAGAAGTGGTGGGCCCCATGATATCGACATCTATACTCATGCGGGAAATCTGGTGGTACAGGCGCTTCTCGAAGAGCTGTCGGTATTAGGGGAAGGAACCGACGAAGCAATGCTCACCACTTTGTTTTTCGTCTGGTCAAGCCCGATGATGCCAAAATATGCTTTCCAGAAACGAGGACAGGTAATCAGCAAGGTCTTTAGTTGGATCATTGTTCATCACGCTGTTGCTAAGTCTCCGTTCGAGTTTTTATATATACCAGTATTTACTCCTACATGAAACTGCACTTCAGTTCCGCTATTAATGTCTGTCGCTGCACTATATTAGCTGAAATTTAGCATGAAATAGTCCGGTGCCAAGTTAATGCATCTACTTCTTACTAACCTTGTTTTAGAGTTTAGAGTAAGTAGAATAGCTTGAAAAGCTATTTGAATTCAACTTCGTATGATAATAGAAATTGTTCCTATAACATCTTTGGAAACACGTACCGGTAGTCATATTAACATAGCTGTGTCAATGCCATTAACCTTTCTAGTTAAGCCAACTACTAATCATCAATTAGAACGCGTATAGGGCTCTTTCTCTACTCTATACGCGTTAGATTAGGTTTGGAGATGGCCGTATAGCACTATAAGAGTTAAGCTTTTTTTTGAAAGCGATCTTCGTAGCACATTCTAATACTCGCATTTTTTTAAAGACGGTCTTTACTCGATGGAAAACTGGGGCGAAAGAGCCCTATTCTGCGGATTTACATCAAATGAAGAGAGTTGGTCATATATGCGGGATATGCACTTTCCAGGCTATTCCAAAAAAAGGCGAGTCCGATCTTAGGTGCGGGGCGCTCACGTTTACTGGAAAAATGAGTGGTTAGGGTGAACCTTGAAAAGAGAGTACTTACAGTATGGAAACGCCACCATGATCCACTGGCCACGTAGATCTTTAAGATCCGAATGCGAGATTGATAGATATCGGGTTTCACTACACGTGGATGCAGATCTCCGATCCACTGATTGTTATACCCCGTAAATCTAGCAGATTAAGTACAAATAAATGCTGGAATATAGTTCTGCAAGAATAGAGTGAAGAAATATATCCACTCATTGCATCTCAATATAAGGTCCCATTTGAAGAACGACTTTAAACTTGTATTTTTCGATAATACACCTGCAATTTTGGGTTCGCCTGCTACTCGATTGCGTTTGCTGTCACGTAGATCTTTATCTTAGTGCAAATCCCTAGCACCGCAGACCTAAGCCAATTCTAAAGTGAAGCTTCTCAGCTACGATGAAGCTCTTCAACTTGAAAACTTCAAGTACGTAGGGCGGAACAGGGTATAGAGTATACGTAAATACTCGTAATGGACACTATCGGACCTGAGCCAAAATGCTAGTATGTATGACTAGCATGGTCCTAGTGCGACCCGTATGCATGCTATGGCTTCTTGGAACGAGCTGAGGCGTGGCGTTCTCCTAGTTGACGCAAAAAGGGGACTGTGCGTTACACCCAAGCTACACATTTCATACACTGAAAGTTATTTCTAGCGGAGTATAAAGTCTTAAAGGTTTAATGGCTTGGTTGCGAATACTTCCAATATCAATCACGAGACTTTATTAGTTTGCAGAAACAAAAGTGATTGAGTTATGGTTAGGAATTTCAAATTTTGAGGCACGAAACTCAGCGACCTCTTCTCTTCCCCGCAGTCCATAGTCCGTGGTTCCAGACGGGTCGCTTGGATCCACCACTCTATGGCATTCCGCCCATATCAGGGGAAGACAGCGAGGACGGCACGGCTGGGAGTGCGGTTGGAAGTCGACCTAGAACGTGGAAACGGAATATGACTCTGTCGATACTTACCCTATGGCGGAAAGCTTCTACTTTGTCATAGCTTTTTGATGAATCGATAGGCGTTTCAAAATTAGTTCGGGGCTCTAAGGCCTAACTAACAACAATTCGAGATGGACTAGGGATGCTTTCCCCGACAATGGCGCTAAGAGCCAAGGTAATTAAATGGCTACTAAAAACTACTATAGCTTAACCCCATATTCTAGCCATTCGGCTGCGCTCCGCGCTGGGTTCGATGTCTCCGGGATCAAAGTTGGGCTGGAAGTAGACTGCGAGAGAAGCCCGCGCTCTCCTATTTGCACTCTGTACGTAACAATGTGCTGCGCTTGATCGATCCCATATAAGGTTTGCAGGGCCCGGCGGGTTCCTATTTCCTTGGACTTTTGCAATGTAAAGTTTCGTGCTATTTTCAAAGATGCAAAATAGGGGGCCAACGCTGTTGGCACTTACTATTGCTTTTCTTGTTGTTACATGGGTGACGGTCGGTTTGCGATGCATTGTGCGTGTAAGGATCGTTAAGGCGTTGGGATTGGATGACTATCTGATAGCATTAGCACAAGTAAGTCATAACCATTTCACGAGAGACAAGTTATATAACGTTACTATATTAATTAGTCATAGGTTGTCTTTACTGCTCTCTGTATTTGTCTGATTCTTGCTGTTCATTATGGCACAGGACGTCATAATGCCGATGTCACCGCCGAAAATGCTATAGAAGCGATCAAGGTTTGTCTCAAAAGCCATGGTTTGCATGTTGCAAAATTCATCTAACTAGAGTAATATAGTACCAAACCCTCGCTGAACTCTTCTATATCCCGGAAACAGCAATTATCAAACTATCTGTCGGCTTCCTTCTCTTGCGCATAACACCTAACGGCGCGAAAGTGTACCGCTATATTATCTTCACCTCGATGATAATTCTATCACTTTGGACAATCATCTCATTCTTTATTGTTCTTTTCCAATGCTACCCCGTGTCGTACGCATGGGATCAAACTTCTGGAAAAGGGACTTGTAAAGATGCCATTGTAGTCGTGAATGCGGCGTATGCGTTCTCGGCTATGGACATCCTATTTGACTGGGGTTTTGCATTGCTGCCTCTGCCTATGCTATGGGATATCAAGATGTCGCTGCAGGTAAAGATGTCGTTATTATTGATTTTGGGATTAGGAGTTTTGTAAGTCTACCCTCGCTGAATCTCCAGTGTATAGACTAATGGTTTCAGCGCGAGTACTGCTACCATTGTTCGTTTAAAGTATGTGATAGAACTTGCAGACGTCAACGATAACCTTTGTATGTTCTCTCCTCCCTAGCCTTTTCTCTATGCACTAATTACTTTATAGACTCTCCCTCGGAAACCCTGGTTTGGACCTTAGTCGAAACTGGTCTGGCAATTATCGCCGCTTCTATCGCAACTCTCCGCCCACTCTTCAGACGCTTTCATATCCCCGGTTTCTATGGCTCCGGCCCCCATTCCAACTCTCATCCTCGACAAAGGACGACCACTGGGTACATCCAGAGTTATGATTTGGGATATATACGGAACGCGGAGACTAGGACAAATACAACGCATATCCGCGCGACAAGCGAGGGGAATACTAGCCAGGAAAGTATTCTCGATCATGCGAAGAATAAGAAGGAGGGTATCAGCAAGCAAACAGATTTCGTGGTTAGTTATGAGACTGGGCCTACGCCGGAAGAGAAATGATATGGATAGGCGGGTGTTATATTTTGTAATTCAACAGTGTCGCCTCAAAAGTATATTCCTGGAGGACTTTTTCTCATTGGCCCAGGTTATGCAGACCGTAATAATACTTCTAAGAACATCAAAATCCCCCTTTGCCTACCTATATCAGCGACAAAATTTCGAGGGTTTACCTCCGTATATATAAAGCTATATGCACAAATCACTCTTCGCTCCCTGAGTGAGTGCGGTTGCCAACCCGTTACAGAGTCAGCCCATATAATAATACGAGGACATCTGTATTTATGTTTATCTTATCTGGTCTGCAAATCAGTCGACTATACTGTAAGCCCTCCCTAGCAGACGACCTCGCAACGGATTCTTTCAGGGCGCATCTCCTAGCCTAAGCGCTAACAACTCCCGCGCAGACGAACCGACTAAAGATCGCTGCCTCTAGCCCTGGTTTCTTATTCAACGTTAAATTCAGGAATTGATTAAGAATTGATAAATTTACCAAGACTAGGATCAACTCTAACCACGGTCAGCACCAATTCATCAACACAAGGAATTGGAAATGTCGCGCAGCCCTATTCGGCTCCCTATCTCACTGCTATAATTGGAATCAGAGAAGGAGCGAAATCGGTTCCCCGCTTCCCATCGGAGTATCTCTGGATAGGAAGTCGCGACTCGTGTCAGAGACCAAGGTGTCGGGAGACTCGGCATCGAGGATATTCGCCGACCGCTTGCCACCGAAGTTGAAGAGAGATAGGTGAAGGGAATGGGTGGGAATGAGAACGAAGACTCGAATGTTCTTGGACCGTTGTTACCAAGTGTGTCTGCCCAAGAGAAATTGAAGTGCAAGAGCTGATTCGTCGAGGAGGTATTTGAGAGCAGTGTTGAAGATTCAATACGAAGATGTTCATTGACTGGGCTGTAATAGAACCTGCAGCCCCGAAGGCCCGTCATCTTTCCCTTAAGTTACGAGAATCGCTCTTGGGAGGTCAGCCTGAAGTGCCCCAACTGGAGCGTGAGCGTGGTTGCAAGCATCAGTTACGTTCCATGCTCTCTGCTCGAATGGGACGAAAACTTTGATATGAATGGATTGCGAAGGCACAAGATAACTCTCAAAGACGCCAAATCTTCGTTAAATTTGCCAGGAATGGACGTGAGAAGCATATGGATTCACAGGATCGAATTCATATGATACAAGGCAGAAAGCGACCGTATATTCCCGAATGATACCTGAGGAGTGGATAGCATTACTGGATCAGAGGAAAGAAGCCGAAAGGAAGCCACCAAAATTCTCCATCACTTCAACAACACAGTTTCTAGACGCACTGAAATCAAAGAAAAGCCGTCAAACTACGATCTACCGTTCGTCTGATACTGCTCATACTCACCATAGTATTGATCATCTTCTTCAACATAGTCCTGATGTCCGCCCTCCACCTCCTCATCCTCATTCAGGGGATATTCCTCGTTGGAGAAAGCGGCAGGGCTTGGACCACCTGTCGTTGTGCTCCATGCCGAATACCCAGAATCGTCTCGTCGGTCCAGCGCTGGCTTGGAGCGTGGGGTTACTTTGGAGGGAGAGCCACGGGCACGGAGGCGATCATTCTCCGTTTGTGCTGTCCTTTGCGGTGCTGGTCTCTGTTTCGGTCGTGATTGTGACTCCTGCTGTGGAGCACCAGGAGGCTGATATTCCGGTGGAGGCCTGTAACTAGGCCGCGGTTGTTGGCTCGGGCGTCTGTCTCGGAGTTGCCCCGGACCAGCTGTATATCCGGCAAATTCTTGTCGGGGACGACGAGCCATTGATGGATTACCCTGACGTTGAGCCCTCTGGAATAGTGGATGGTATGAGGGCCCTTGGTCCCCCTTATTAGGATCATGATCATCGTCTCGAGTCATATTTGTTCGATTGAGATCACTGTCAGTATAGCCTTGCATGGCACGGAAGAGGTAACGTTCGAACTTCTCAATGACCTTGGCAACAATCTCGAAATGCCGAAAGTCTAATGTGGATGCGGCCTGCTGCCCACTGTCAGCTCCCTTGTTCTCGGCATACGCATCAATATCGGCATCGTTGTCTTCCCAATCATCCAATGAAGTCCTCTGGAGGTCAAAGTCCGCAAGTGAGTGGGCAATCTGAAAAGCGTTCCGGATTTGTCTCCCGTTCCAGCGCTGGCGAGCCCCATGATTGTCATAGTGCCATTCCGCGTAATCCCTGATGGTGTCGACGTCAATTATCAGTTCGAGCCGCTTAGGAGCCTGTGGGCCCTTGGCGTTTTGAAGCTCTTGCTTCTCCTTTTCGATATCATAAAGCTTTCGGATATTGACCTCGAAGATTGCTAGGGTTTGCTCCTTGCTCAGTGGCGGGTAATACAGGCTGACGTGGATGCGGGATTTGAAAGCTTCGTCTAGGATTCCCACCCGATTCGTGGTTAAGAAGAGAATGCCACTATAGTACTCGAGCACCCGAAGGAACACTAGGAACATGTCAGCATGATTTTAAAATAGTAGAGTACCTTCAAGCCAGATACTGACCGGACACGAGGGCATTTCGCTGCAAGTCGTTATGTTCTCGCCTAGTCAGGAAGACATCGGCCTCGTCAAGCAATAACACACAATCCCAGAGATGGGCCAGACGGAAGATATCTCTGAGAGAATCATCAACTTCTTTCGGAGAAAACCCAAGATCACCGCATGTGATGACAAACAGGGGCTTCTTGTTGGCTTGAGCAACGGCCTCAGCCGTGGCTGTTTTGCCCACGCCAGGAACGCCATGGAGAAGAATGAACAAGCCAGAGCCCTTGGCTCGAATCAAATCCTGATTCAAGCCAGCATTTGGTTGATCCTTCTGCAGATTTTGCTTCCTGAAGTGTGCTTTCACCAAAGACTTCACTATGCGCTTGTGCTCATCATCGATCTTGAGGTCTCCAAAGACATTCTTTGGTGCCGGAACGTTGTGTACTACCTCGACGTCGAGCATAACGAATTTGCGCTCCCGAAAAGCGTATGCGACAGCGCGGCGAGGCAACAGAACGAGATCGTCTTCTTCAAGTTCCGTTACATATGTGGCTTCCCAAGTCTGGAGCAACTTGCTCTGTTTCTTGTGGCGACTTTTCAAGTAGTTGCCAACCAATTCATTTCCTCGCGTGATTTCTTTGATCTCTCCAAGCATCTCGGACTGTGGTCCGTCCTTGAAACATCTAATGAAGAGTACATCATCTCCCGTCGGCCACTAGATCATGGGGGAGTTAGTTATTTCCTATCCAAGAAGGTTTCGGGAGTAGAAAGAGCTTATGTTTCCAGTTTGGGAAGTATGTAAGGAGTAGTCGGAGTACATAAGACGAAACATGATGGAAGGGGGTAGGGTAAAATCAAATAGCCAGTTTTCCTTACGTCACTGTCGTCGATTGAGGAATCGAGGAATGTTGGCATCTTGATAGATGTTTTTGCCTTATACCCCTCGACGAAGTCAATGATGACATCCCCTTCAATGTGCTCAGGGTCATTTCGCTCTGACTCCGAGTCTGAATTCCCGTCTTGTCCATTTCCGGTCGGTCCATGGGCAAGCGTTCAGCCGTCGTAGTAGAGATGCCTTTTTCTTATTACCCTCTGAAATGCTATTCCCTGAGCATGAAGTTCGGTTTTCATCTTGTCGCAGTCCTTGAGAAATCGCATTGGATAAATTTCGAGTGTCGTAATGTCCTGTTCGCCTTCGTAGTATTCAATTTGCCATGTGCGTTCAACTGGTCCATATTAATGTCCATTGTAATCGATATAGTAGGCAATAAGATCCAGTTGACGATTGGCACGCGGCTGCCCAATAGGCTGAAAGTCATCGGGATTATCATCCAGCACTGTATCGAGCGTCTTGCTGTAAAGTCTCCACGCAGTTTGATACATCTTGACCCCGTCTTGCTTCAATGAATTCGATTTTGGAGGAACGTAGAGAAGCTCGCCAGGTTGGAAGTACATATATAGATCCAAGAAGCGAACCCGACGGTGAGTATTGGTTGCAGCTTTCTCCCAATCCGGCATAATATTCTCTTCCACGAACTGAACGTACTTTTTAAGATGTCGGAGCGCAATGACGGAGTCTGTGATCTCTCCAGCGATGGCATCCTCCGGATCCATGGGTCCGACATTATCATTCAGTACAAAACCATCCTCGCTTTCGGGGTCGGAGATGTCCCTAGTATCGTTTTCATTGGCGTCCTCCTCGATCAAACGCTCGGCCTTGATTTCCACGTCAAGTTTGGCTTGTGTCCTTTCAACGGCTATTGCTTTTTCAACGCTTCCCTCTACATTAGCCTTTCCCCATCTCTTCTCGAGAATTTTGAGGCACTTCTTCACTTGCGGCAGGAAGTAATAGAACGTCCGGAAAGGGCGGAAAAATACTTGAGGTTTGTGGATACTCCAAGTATCGTCGTGACCAGTGAGACGTGACAGCAAAAGAACAATCGGTGGCGACTGTATCCGAACACGTTGAACCCAAGTAGACCCAGAATGGACCTTAGACGTCACCGACCTAGCGTTTCGATTCTTCACGGGTCTTCGCTGCTTTTCTTCTTTCATGATCTCGTTGGGGAGCTGTTTGTGGCCTCGGAGCACTTCGATGATCTCAAAACCCTCCTTTGGGTTGTACCGGTTCTTGAAATGTTCGAAGTCGAGCCATTTGACGTCGACGACTTTGGGAATCTGCTCTTGCTCTTCTGCCCATAGCTGTTCCTTCGTTTTGGAATCGTCCTTTTCATCTTTCTTCTTGGGACTGTCTGACAGTTCTGCATCGTCTTTGGTTGAGTCGACGGGGACATCCACAGGGTATTCCGTAGGGGAGACTAGGTCTTCTACTGGGGCTGGGGCTGGGCTACTGGACACCTCATCAACGGCATTGGGGGGGTTGTCCATGCTGCGCTTTACTGAGTGAAGCACCTGGTAAACCTATATTGATCAATTCCGGAACGGGCCGTGAAATCATAAAATGTTGTGAGTTGTCAAAGTATGCTCCAGAAGCTGGGTCAATGGGTCAGTTAGATATCCTGGTGAGACTGAATGCAAACCTAGGGGAACAACGCTGACATACAAGCAACAGTAACAAGAAGGGCGCGTTCGACAGCCAGAGTACACGTCTAGCAAATAACAACCTTTTGATGATTATATTGACTATCGAGCAACTTGATTAGAAATTGACGAGGCTGCGTTGCTCTTCCTGCGGTTTGTAATCACAAGCATTGCCAACCACCGAGAATATGAAATTCTCTTTAGGCTGAACACAATGCGAGGAGTAAGCAAGCTGAAGATATGCAATGAGACAGTAGCATCTGCTACTATTGGCAGGCGAGCCGATTTCACAATCCTGCCCGCAGGAGTTGATACTCCATACTCGACGACAAAAGACCAATGCGATACCTTGCAGATGTTTTGGACGTCGCTATTGCCAGTCTCGGTGGTCCTATGTCAATTGATCTGTGCTGTGTGCCAGCACAGAGACGCCCGATCCTATGTCAAACCCTGCGCTTCCGCCCTGGCGTTGCCTGGGGTTCGGAAAAGAGTGGGTTTTCGGAAAGGTGTGGGGGCGGTTGGATCCCATAGGAGAACACTTGAATACGGTATTTTGCGTTGCATACATTTCTTGCGGAGAGCTTACTACAAGGACCTGCAAAGACAAGTGGTTCTTCGCAAGGCGTCTGATAACCAGCCGTCCTGGACACGCCGTCTCCAAGTGCACATTGTGTAGCAACATTCTTGAGATCAGTGGAGAGGTTCATGGCCTTCGCACCCTTATACTTGCCATCATCATTCTTTCTCGACCTCAAAAGTTTTTAGAGTAGCCTTTGGAACTTCTCAGAGTCTGAAAGGTGGACAGTGGCCAACTTCTTATTACAAGCCATGTGTTCAAGTTGGGAAAACCCCGGCACACGAGAGGTCACGACAGCTGTGGCCTTCATTACCTCTGAAGCTCAAAAGGTTCACGATGGAATGGGAGGTTCATCCCAATTTGATCATGAAATTGTCAAATTTGTGCCCCCGCAATTTCAGCCTTACTTGTAAGTGCATTCGACTAAGCAGAGGCAGCCTAGGTACTCGTACTTGCAAATCATAGACTAATGTACAAAACTAGGCAATTGGCTCAAGCTTTGAAATTTTATATACCCAATACCCTGCGTATTCCATACGAAGGAGACAGTGAAAATTCGTGGGACAAACTTGGGGATAGGATCAATCAGATGCAAACTAAGTACAAGGATAGTACGGACGGGTTCTGGCACAGGCTTTGGTATGGTATAGGCGACGCCAAGGACGCAATCGACCCATGGGTCTCCCTGATACCAGAAGCTTACGGACTTGCTGTTGTGAAGACAGGTCTCGCTGTGGTCTTCAAGGTTCGTCTCACATGTCCGGCGCTGCATGACCGACTTCTTGAGGAGTTTTAGGACTCACTTCTACCAGGTTGCCGGAAAATCGGCAGAAGCAAGAAAGAACATCTTTAAAACGTTCAACGGATTGCGAGATGCTCTCACCCGAGCGAATCCTACAAAAAGGAGCTTTCGAGTTAATCAAGAGGTCGACAACTGTGCGAATGAGCTTTATCAGGCCGTTGTGGATTCTATCGAGGATATGATCCTCGTGACCTCCAAGGAAAGAACGAACTGTAAGTAACAAAATGAACACCAACTCAGTGGCAGTAAGCATGCTGATCTTGATGCAAGGGCAAAAGTTCATTCCAAAGTTCAAACATAAGGAGCAACCTCCTGATACTGACACAGTTCTGCAAAAGGTAATAGAGGCCACCAACAAATTTGAGAGAGCCCTTGGCATAGCTCGAGATCAAGCTATTGAGGGTACACAAGTGGTGACACAATATACCGCTATCAAGGCCAACAAGATTCATCTTGATGTGAAGAAGTACGGAGGTGAGGTCGGCGAGATCCATGGCCATATGAAACAATTGACGGTTGGCGCGACCTACGTAAAGAAAACAGTCTATGAGAACGCTATACTCCTGAAGAGTGAGAGCGAGAAAAACGAATTATTCCGTCGGGAGCTACAGTCCGACTCGCTTGCGGACAAAATTGCTGGCGCACTCCATAGGAAGCAGCAAATTGCAGCGCAGGGAACTACGCGAGGCATATGTGAGCATGCAATGCAGAATGACCAGCTTGTCACCAGAAACGAGCTTTTGGAGCTTCTTTCTGAAGTATGGAGTAAGTGAAGAAAAAGGGCGCCGAAGCTTCAAAAGCCACACCTTCGCTGACTTGTGAACTTACAGAGAATAACGCCAGGACTTCCAGGCCAACACAAGAACGGGCCAACAATGCCCGAAAGCATAGAGCACTTATCAGCGTCGATCGGTTCTTCCAAGTTCTTGCCCAAGCAGACTTCACTAGGGGCCCGCCAGTCGACCTGGACCAAATATTCCAGCACCCCAACCATGACTTTGACCGCGCTCTGATGCAGAAGAGTAGATTCTCAACGTCCATCCAGGGTCAAGTCCAGTCACTGCTACGACATAATCGCTTTCTTCAATGGATGAATAAACATGACCCCGATATGATTCTTGTCGACGCCAACATTCGCTCAAGTGGTCCTGGGATGTCGGCCATATCGGTGTTCTCAGCCACGTTCATCGCGGGAATGGTCAAAGTCCACCCAGATGAGGTTGTGGCTCACTTCTTCTGCAATTTGCATACGGCTACCAGCGATCCTTGGCATGGTCCGAATGGACTTGTTCGTTCTCTCATCGTGCAGCTGTTGATGAAGCTGGAGAGATTGAAGATCCTGAACCTGGACTTCATCAATGATCGAAGGTACCTGAGAGAGCTTGAGCAGCATAATTTAGCCAGTCTCTGCGACATTCTTTGGTCACTTCTATACCAATTTCCGGCTGACACCACGGTCTACTGCATCATCGACTCAATTTCATATTTTGACAAGACATTAACACTCAAGGACCTGGAGATTGTCTTGGACTGGCTGCAACGCATTGTTAATGACAGTTCTCTGGTTCCCATATTCAAGGTGATGATGACGAACCCCATGTCAAGTACGACAAAGATGAAGGAGCTGCTGAATTTGCGAGAGTATCCGACTCGACTTGTCAACTTGTCCCCGAATAACCTGATCCCCATGGGGATGTCAAATCACACGATGGAGAGTCACCTTTTGCGACCTTCAACTCCAACACCGCCTATAATCAAAAGGGAAGTGTTCGCAAATTCATATCGCGGAAGTTATGGGGATGGTTTTGATGAAGGGTGGCAAACGGATTGACGGGAGGGTGTGATTCGGTGGAGTCTTTAGCTAAGTTTAAGCGTTACGGCCGGATGCCTCAGTGTACCTCAAGAAATAAGAGATCAGTTATCTTGTTTAAGGCTTTGAGACTCAGGTGCTATGCTCTCGTCAAGAATTTGCTGATGATCTTTGAACCACGTCTGTCTCTGGTTTGGTATTCAGATGTCGTCTCCAATAATTCAGGGGATCTCGCCTAGATTTAGCGACTTAGCCCCTGAAGTCTGCATTGACATCCTTGTGGCAGTGGCGATATATGGTAAGCGATATTAAATTGAGGAGTTTGACTCGTAAATATTATTAAATTCATTATAGAATTCAAGGGTGTCGATGCCCTAATCCGGACCCTTACCTAGGTCCTCAATTTCCCCTGCTCCTTTTCGAGTTGCTCCGGATATCGACTTGATCTGCTCAGGGGTTCTATCAAGGGCTAGTGTCAAGGCGTTGATGATCTACGTATGGATCATTACCAAAATACTATAATAACATAGAAGGTATTTAAAAACATGTCATTTGACGTACCGATGGTTAATGCTAATCTGACGACTTATATATCAGGATCCAACTACGGAACTTAGTCTATATAGCCTGACTCGCATGTTTCTATGTGTTTTTCGCGCTTTGCTACCGGACAATACGCCTTGAACTATATATCACTTTAAATCTATTCTATAAAAATAATTAACGCGTCCAACTCAGATAGTTAAATCTCTTATCAACAATCATACCTTTTCACTGCCCTTTTCTCGCTTAGTAAGTAGACCTGCTCCTGGAGATGCTATTTGGTCCTATCGAAGGGGAAGGTTTATAATTATTTACCGAGAGCGTAGATTTATCCACCTAGCTTTCAAATACTTCGACGTGTTTTGAAGCTATGCGTGGAGTAGTCGTGCTTGTGTCGTACTTTTAGGTGTTAACACCAAGCCAAAAATCCTGCAAAGGATAGACGAAAGCGGCATTCAATATTTAAAACTTACATAGCTTTATTAAACATAGAAATATAGCCTCCGGTCTGTCTGTAGCTCTGAAAGTCGGGCACTATAGAGACAGCTCTATACAGCTAAATGTCGGCGGCATCTTCATGCGACAGACTACAATTCAATGCATAAAGACAAATAAATAACAATACTAATCCTCAACTCTTCAGCCTTGCCGGTGCTCCATGCCAGTCCTGAATCGAGATGGTTAAAATTTGACATCGGTGAACCTTAATAACTGAGAACATTTCTCTCCATTATCATATTTATCTCATCAATCTCATCAACCCTAGCTAAATCATCAGATATTCTTACCTGCTGAAGAACTGACCATGTCTGTAAATAGAAAATCAGACACTGCCAACGGCATACGAAAAATCCAGCCGTATCGTGCTCCGTGTAATCTAATGAGTCGCACAGCAGACGAGCCCCCTCCCGCCTTTTCTGTGCATATGTGCATAACGTACAAGGATGACCACGTGCAGTTCATCCGAGCACAGCTCGGGCGTAACGCCCGCAAGTACAGAATATGCCTTGCAGCTGCTCGAAGAAGAAATATCGTTGGCTGGCCAAGCTATGCGAGGGAGACCTAATAAGCGTGCCGTTGCAATCCATCCCGAGTTCTGGGGTATACTGATAGGGAATACGAAGTGATTGATTGGTACTCTATATTTCTTGTCAGCATGTAAAGGATGCAATGCCCTCGCACGAAGAATCAGCGCAAAGCATACGGACTAGCCAAGATCTTTCCAAGCCCACCCCATGTCATATGCGCACTTGAAGTCGCAATCGGAAGCTCCTCCGCTGCCGGGCCAGCGTAAAGTCGAAGGATCCCAAAGGCCAAAAGCCAAGAAAATTGAATACGCGTACATGTGCACCAAAGGTATCACATGGGACCCACCCGAGATCCTCCTGTGCAACATCCCGCAAATAGATCCCGCGGATAGATCCCGTGTATGAAGGTGGTGCAGTCCAGGCCCAGGTCCCCGTTCAATGGGATCTGTGCAAGTGCTCTAGAGGAGCCTCAGGGTTCGCCCGGTGTGGTTGTACAAATGTACGGATGTCCGGAGTACAACTAGGGAAAAGCTTTATGCAATGGAATCTCAGCAAAGAGTCGTATATGGAATATGTACTTTGGTTCATGGCGTGTAAAGCGTATATTGGTAGGTATGTAACTGATCCAGAACATGCAATGATACCTTACTTGCATGAATACCACGTGGGAGTGTCTGTACCCTGTGTAGCATTGAAGATGCAAGCATAGAAACCATGTACTGACAACATAGCCACACATGTACAAGGCACGCAAACACCATCCAAGTGAACGCCATCAGAGCTGGAAAGAAACGCAGAAATGCAGGTGTAGCATTCACGGTTACATTCAAAGCTGATGCTAAGGATTGATATAGGCAGTAAGAATTATCATGCGGGTAGGTTAGCCCCAAGAAATGCCTGGCAGGACGTGGCATCCAAGATGAGATGCAAAAGTTGTCAAGGGTTACTTTGCGCTGAGCTTCCCTGTAGGGCTTGGAAGGGTACTAGATATGGCCTCGAATTTGAATGCCCTTGATTGATCTGTGTCACTTTGACTAAAAGGCAATAACGGGCTTTATTTTCGTACGCTTCAAAAAACAATTATAACTCGGTGATCTTGAATCAGAATACGGAGTTCGCTACCGCCGCATAAAAACATTCCATGAAAGTGAGACGGCTTGGCATTAAGGGTCATCGCTGGATGACTCCCTTCGTATCTGTGCTGGATTTTTCTCCGAAAACCATTGAAGATAGGCTAAAACCCATAATATAGCTAGCCGTGAGCGTAGTCGCTGCAAGATGACAAAAGTTCTCATTGTAAACAGTTATAAGCATCTTTCGTATCAAGACCCTGATCAACAAATATCTGCAAGCCATCCCATGAAGCAGAGCCTCTCCATTCATCCGACGAAAAGAAATGAGCGAGACCTGGTGTTTGAGAGTGCTGGAAGCTAAACGCTAAGAGTCCTGAATCCCCGAAGATTGTTGTATCTGAATGTGAGGTTAGGGAAAGGAAGAAGGGGAATCGGGGAAAATGCTAAAAGGAATAACTGCTGGATTGCACAGAGCAACAGAATGTGAGCGAATGTTTGGGCGTAGTCAAAACTAGCTCAAATTTGCCTCTGCTCTACCTAGGTAGTTTCAGGGAGACATTTGGGAAGACAGGAGCTACCAACCCAATGCTCGTTCGTGTTGCAAGCAGTGCGCATCAGACCCTCAGTGCACTTGCAACATGTCCAATATGTAACTGTACTGCAGACAAATCCTTAATATGGGCAGCTGCACTTTCCTACAAGCTCCCCCCTCTGCAACCTGTCAAACCTGGGTTTCCTCGAGGCCAAATTACAGTCTTTCACAACCCTCCCAGGAGCATAGAAGCATCACACTAGATCAACGTATCCGGTAAGGCAACGTTTGTAGAAAGAGCTTTGTTGTATTTGTTTGTGTCTGCCGAAAGTCGCCTTCTTTAGTTCCCTCCAGCCAGCAGATATCTCAGTATACAATGCCCAGCGTGCAGCAAACGCTTGCGCCAATCAATCAAAACCCATTTTCCTACCAACAAGCAACCCTATCTCAATCTTCGGGCTTCACGTTCGGACTCGAGGAGGCAGAGAATGTCGTCTTCGCGGACTGTAGGGGATTCATTAGCAGCTCGTCCTTGCATTTAGTTTCAATTCTTCCAAGAAAATCATCCACCAGTCGAAGAAAATCACAATGTTGTAGATTTGGAAGCGCTCGGAATCGCAGTATTAGAAATTCGTACCTGGGCCTTTGACGTTGCGGATAATGCTTCTGGTGGTATCGTCCATGAATTCGACTCTGACTTGAGTGACACCTCCACGGGAACCTATATGCCATCAGAACCCATCCTTATTTTTCCTATTTCCCTCGTTTGCGAAGCTGGGACATACCGGTACGGCCCAAAACACGAGTGACCTTGACGAGCTTGACGGGGACCTTTGAGGATTCCATGATTGCGATCTGCTGCTTGTATTAGCTTCTAGTCCTGGATTCGATATCGATGCAACTGACTGTATGGATGCGCGGAGAGGGATTCTTTTGTTGGAGTTGTGGTGGTGGAGTCAAAAGTTCGCTGTCGACGTCGGGAATTCTTCAATAATTTTCGTAGTGTGCGATTTCAACGTCTATTTCTGCACTAGTCCCAGAAACCCCTAGCTCTGGCCACTTTTCCCTTCTACTTGCGACATTAAAGCAGCGACAACGTGGGGCAATGCAATGACTGCACCGCGAGACCGCAAAAGAATTTGTTTAGTACTTGGATGCTCTGCACAACCGCAACCATACACTACCTAACAAATACTTCACTACTGCAACCCCAACCTAGTCAATCCCACCTTTCACCGCGAATATCACTCTTTCAATTGATCTCTTGCATCTGCATTGCAGCTTCTACGGTGTTTAATCCCGAAGCACTATATTCTCCTGGATTGTCAGGGACTGGGCGAGAAGTGGGCGACCCCGCCATCGGACACGTTCACTTGCATTGCATTGAATAACTTTACCTGACTCACAATGGATCTCGTAAATCAGTAGGACACTTCCCTTCTTCTTCACTAAACTCACAATGCCTCTATTCGAAGAGCCCTCTCATTTCGAATTCTCAGCTAACAAACCACAAAGCTTAGAAGGCAGACTCCTATTTGCTGTCCCCAAGAGTGAGTCAATGCCCCCAATATCACCAGCCTTTCAGTAGACTTACATCCAATTACAGAGGGAAGATTACTCCAAGCAGCACTCAATCTCCTCGAAGGCGCAGACATCCAATTCCGTCGCGAATCCCGTCTCGACATCGCGCTCGTCAAGAACCTCCCCATAGCCCTCGTCTTCCTCCCCGCAGCCGACATCCCCACCTTCGTCGGCGAAGGACGTGTCTCCTTGGGTATAACCGGTCGCGACACAGTAGCTGAACATGAGGCAGCTGTAACGTCAGCCAGGCGAGAACGAGCCGAGTCAAGTCAGTCTACACCAATCGAAACAGATACGCAATTAGGATGCGAGGAGGTTATGGATTTGAGCTTTGGGGCGTGTAAACTAGAAGTCCAAGTTCCGGTTAAAGGGCAGTATGTCACGCCTTCAGATCTGATTGGGAAGAATGTTGGCACCAGCTTTGTGCACTTGGCGGAGGAGTATTTTGCGGGGTTAGAGAAGGAGGCCGATGCCGCAAACGGGGAGGGGAAGAGGAAACTGAGGACTAATATCATTGAGCTAAGTGGGAGTGTGGAGGCTGCTTGCGCTTTGGGGGTTGCGGATGGGATTGTCGATCTAGTTGGTGAGTTCCCCGTCTCCAATCCAAGTGCGACTGCTAATTAGAAATAGAATCCGGAGAGACGATGAAAGCTGCTGGTTTGAAAGCCATTGACACGGTCGTATCAAGTGTAGCCGTTCTCATCAAGTCGAAACACCCCTCAAATCCAGCACTAGTCGATCTCCTTGCCTCAAGAATACGAGGAGTCATCAGTAAATTCTCTCCCCACTCCCTTTCCTGACCGTTCTAACAACAACAGCCGCCCAACAATACGTCCTCTGTCAATACAACGTCAAACGAACCGACCTCGTCCAAGCCGCCAAAATCACGCCCGGCAAACGCGCCCCGACCATCAACGCCCTAGAAGAAGAAGGCTGGATGGCGGTAAGCAGTATGGTGGAGAAGAAGAAGATCGCTACGGTCATGGATGAATTGACTGCAATGGGTGCAACAGATATCTTGGTGCTGAATATTGCAAATACGAGAACTGATTAAGAACCTCAAATAGAGTGAGGGTGTGTGACGTTTGGATGAATACCGGATGCAAAATGGGAACATATGATGCTTTCTAGGAGTTGATTTGGGGAATAGACAAGCACGATGATTTAGAAAAGAATATAGATCACGGTGTTTTCAAGGTTCGGAAGGTCATGCTATACACTCATTGTTCTCCCTCTTTAGTACTCAAGTCGGAAGTGGTACTGTAATTACCCTGCTTCGCCAGCTCGGCTACAGTACACCTGCCAAAGTGCCAACAGACATTGTCCTTCCAGTCCACTTCTTTAACGACACTGCACTATGGCGAGCTTTAGCTTGCATTCAATGCTTGTTCTTGACGAGTAATTTTTCCTCACATTCATATTCGCTTAATTTAGCGAAGCGACCCTGAATTTGAGAGCTGAATTGGATTGGGATGGTCGCCCACTTGCAAGAGTGCCTCTCGTAAACTTCAAGAGAGACCTGGCATTATGTATACAATGCGTCTAGAGAAGAGGAAGCAAAGTGAGATGTCAAATTCATCCTTCATTGCCATAAGACCTTTACACCGGACGTAAACTTTATGGCCAAGGGGCTGAAGTGTTCCGCGTTAGTCCCTCTTCCCCCTTTTTACCCCTCATTAAGCGAAGCCCCTCGTCATCCGTACTCGTCCGTACCTTATATTTGAAAAAGGCAAAAGCAAAACAAATGAACTGGTTAGTTTCGGGGATAATGCGAGTACCTGTGTATGAACCTGGCAGTCTGCAAAGCTGCCAAGCTGCAGGAGAAAGCGAGGCAATTGTCTCTATAAATCAAACAATGCATTCCGTAGGAAGAAAGAAGGTAAATGGTAGAGAAAAGAAAGAAATGCCATAAATGATAGCATAGAAGTAGGTACAGAACACATCTCCCCAAATAGAATACAGCTACTTGAAGTGTCGATCTAGTCCCAAAACAACTCTCACGATGTAGTTGCAAAAGGGCTGGTTGTCAATGTCAATACGCGTATTCCTGTGGCGCTTGCGGTGACGTTTCCTTGGCACTTCCTCCGCCACTGCCGACATAGCCTCGTCCTCGCCCTTGAATATATATACTTTTACTCTCCCATTCAACCATGATTATCTTATACAATACGTCCAGAATATCTCTCTGTGACGTCTGCAACGTATAAAACAGACAAGCACAAAGGAATCATGTCGTCGCGACCACAATCACCACCCAATGGCATGCGCGCACCTCCCTCCCCAGCAGCGCCCAAGGAGAGCGCAATATCTAGAGTAAGGCCCTTCCACTCCTCCAATTGATGGAGAGGAATATACTTACAAAAACATAGCTTCTCATAGCACCTCTAACATTCATCTCCTTCCTCCTCAGCCTCGCGCTGATCGATTCCCGAAACCACGCCCTGCGCACTCACACGCACAACAATGGCCCATCGCCCCCGTTCGCCCGTGGAAAAGCACTCATCCACTCCCTGATCTTCAAGCGCGTACCGGACCCAAGTCCCTACTCCTATGTTAGGTCCCCAGATGCAAAGAGTGAGAGGGGCAGCGGGGATGGGAATGTGGAAGGTAAAGAGCAGCCGTGGCATTGGCATACGAAGCAGCGCAAGATGATGAAGGCGGAGATGGACGATGCGTTTCGGATGCGGAAAAGTGTCATGGTGTTTTTGATGCTTGTGGGGGTGGGCATTGCGGTTGCTGTGGGGGTTCTTGGGAGGTGGATCTTGCGGGGTGTACTGCTGTAGAGGACGACAACGATTGATGGTAATGGTACGCGGGTGTTTGCTAAGGGTTTATTTTGGCTGAGGTATAAGATATGATAATTTGGATTAGGCGTTTGGGGTTTGATTCAAACAAGGTGCAACAGCTAGGAAAATGATATATGAAGGAACTATTAGGAGTTGGAATCTGGGGTTAGTAAAAATTGTAGAGTTGAACAGCTTATTTCTTGCTTTGCTTGTTCATTTCGATTGGTGTATTTAGGGTTCAGGAAAGCATAAAAGAGAATGAATGTAAAGAAAACGCTTCATAGATCTCATATATATAAAACTCGAGGTCGCACAAACCCCTGTACAGGGGAGGGGTTAGCGAATGTGCAAGGATTGATATTGCGAAGCAAACAAATGTAAAATCAAGAGAGAAAAAGCAGGACTTTGAATTCAGTAAGAGGTGTTTAGAACTGTAGAGAGAGAGTGTGTGTATTTATCCATAAATAAAAGTAATGGCCATAGAAAACCGCCCTAAGCTAGCCCCGGAATTTATCCCTTTCTATCTTATCGGGCGGTGAGCCGATATCAAAATCCGCGTCGCGTGTGAAGCTCCGTGAAGCTTTAATTCACCTTTGCTTTTTCTTACTCCACCTCTCCATGTCTACCGTGACATCTGAACTTCAATGCTTTCTCTAACCTACATGCGATACAGCCTGCTGCAATCGCCAGTAACACATCTTGCTTTTGCTCCAACATAGCAACCCTTTTCTCGCCATGGCCATGCCAATGGGACCCCCGCAACTTCCTGGCTACTCGCTGAGAGTACAGCTCTATTCACAGAACGCGCACGACTTGGCCGACAAGCCCATTCGATGTTTTCGCGTTGTCACGTCTCCCGATAGATCGATCCGAGAGTTCTGCGAGGAAGCTTCAAGAATTCATGAAATCAATTACGGAGAGTACGTCCAGTTCTCAGTTTGTTGCGCCGCGACCATAGATCGACTCTCTAAATTGAGCTTTGCTGACCTTCTGCCTTTCATAGACCTCTTGCCGTCAAGAAATGTCAAGACGACCAGGAGTTCGACGTCACCCAGAGCGAAATACTAGGAAATCTCTTTGCGAATGCAGCTACCATACGCGTTATTAGAGCTTCACCAACTCCGGGAGTCCGCGACTCTGTCCCCCCAACCTCCGCTCTTCGTTTTGAACCTACAAGTCGCAAGAGAGGCAGAGAAAGCACACCTGCAGGCATTGCATCGGCGCCATCGAACTCGTACAAGTTGAATAAGAGACAGCGATTGACATCTCTGAACCCAGATCACCCTCTACCGTCCCGCGAAGGTGAGCCGGAGCGGGGTGAAGTTCCCTCAGAAAACGGCCGCATACCAGATATTAATGTCATCCCTTCTTCGCAAGAAAGTGTTATTCTTGGTACAAATCATGGGTTAAACGGCACTTCACGACAAGTAAGGCCCAATCTTTCTCAAATCCCCGAGACACCCTCTCCGTCTCCCCCTTCGTCTCCGTCGCCTCCTCCATCGTTCAATGAGCAGCCATACTATGAAAAACATCCAACTGATCACCAAGGTCGAAAGCCCGCAAATTCCAACCACGAAAACTCAAGTCACAACTCGGAAGCAGATAATTCTAGTCCCCTCAAGCAGGCGTCGGCTCGAGCACAGTCTCTTGGTGCTAGCCAATCGAGGGCGAAGAGCGCCAGCTACCACATCCAGAGAGCTACAGAGCGAGGCACGTCGGTTTCTACTGCAGCCACAAGTCCACTGTCTACGGACCTTCATCGCCCAGCAAGAAATGGCTTGACTCCCGGAGACAAGCGCAACACATCTGACTCTAGTTCTGATAGTAATAAGCAAAATGGAAAGCGGAATTCAAGATCGCCAAATGAGGATAGCATCTATGAGAACATTGTCTCCGAGGATGATTCTGCTGCTATTTTGAATGCAACAAAAGCGACCCTGAAGCTCAAAAAAAGTCAAAGTGCTGGCTTGCAGGGTATGGAATGGGCTAATAATCGGTTTAATACCCCTCCTAACGGTCGCCGAACCTCTCGAGGCCCAGGAGCAACGCCAGGAGAATTGCCTCTCACGCCCAGCAGTAAGGAACGAGAACGTAAGCAACGGGACGCCAATGATGCTAAAGAGGCTCGACAAGCAGCAGCTCAGGCTGCGGAGCAGCGAAAGCGCGAGGCTGAGGAGGCAAAAGCTGCCGAAGAGGAACAAGTTGCTCGGCAAAACCAGGCAAGGAGGGAAGAGCAGGAACGTATCGATGTCGAGACTTTCAAGAGAGAAGAGGCGGAACGGGCTGCTCTAGTAATTGCGAAAGCTGCTCGCTTGGAGAAACAACGAGCAGAACGTGACAGGAAGCAAGCAGAGGATCTCCAAAGGAAAGAAGAGGAACGACGTAAGGAGGAGGAACGGCTGGAACATCTGAAAGGTGCGAAACAAAAAGAGGATGCCGAGAACATTTTGCGAAATAAAGCAATGGTAGCAGAGGCGACGCGAAAGCGTAAAGAAGAAGAAAGAATCCGGGGCGAAGAGGTTGCGAAGGAAAGGCCATCTTCTCCTCAACTAACAAGAAAGTCCTCGCCCGCTATCGTGCCAGGCTCCGTTTTGCGACGTCCATCATCCTCAACGTCGCTTATTCCAAGCGGAAGGAAGTCGTCTCTTAAGCCGTCAATTCGTTCGTCACAAGCAATTGCTAGCTCATCTCCATCAGCACCGACTGTCTCGCCGGAAAGGACAACCAACGGTGTGAATCTTGGTGCTCAGATGCCTAAGACCCGACGAGTATCATTTGAAGAGCCACCTAGCAAGGAAACTCCCATACGACCCCCTACCAGGATTCTTCCTCCTGGCAGAATGGCCATCCCAGTTGTGCCAAAACCTGTGACTACTAAGCCTGTGCAGAAAGTTCAAGGTAAGGAAGTCTTTTCACTTGGAGGACTTCAGCACTAACAATTCCTAGCAGTGCCTCTCGAGAGACAGTCGCGAACTCCAATACGCCCACCTCCTACGTTAAAGAGGCCGAGCAACGATCGTAGCATAACGCCCGTAGTACCGCCAAAGGTTGCCGAGACACGAAAGGAAGTCGTTCCTCAGGCTGTCAAAAATAACTCACCCCGGAGAGAGCTTAACCCCAAAGAAACTACCAACAAAAGCACACCCCCGATTGTTCCAGCGGCCAGGAAGATTGCGACACCAGTTCAACCTTCAACAAATGGTATGTCATTTCACAGATCATAATGCCCACCAACATTTTTAGTATTCACATACCCTAACGAACTCTAGCTAAAATTGCCTTAGAATTCTTGCGATCGATTGAGCCAACCGCCAAAAAGGCTACCGATGCAGAAGAATCATCTGATGGTGATTCTAATGAAGACATTCCCAGCAAAGTTAGCTCGTCTAAAGCTACTTCAAAGTCACCAGCTCAATACAAAGACGAAGCTCCCACTCGCCAAGCAGCCCCGGAGTCCGAATCAGAAGATGAGCAGGAAGAAGAGGAAGAAGATGAAATAGCTAGTAACCGCTCATCGACCCGCGATAGCCGATCACCTGTTGTCTTCAGTCAACACCCAGGGGGGGCCGTAGCCGGAAAATCAAACCGCTCCGCCACGCCTGAGTCTGTAAGCGAATCTGAGAATGATCGTGAAGTCGAAATCGATACTTCAGAAGGTAGCCATGATGGGATCGACAGCGAAGCATCAGACGGTGAAGAGGCCGACAAAGTCCCGGAATCCAGCCCAAGTCTCCCCAGACATAAGCCCACCGCTAAGCCTTCAGGGCCTGCATTCGATCAAGTCAATAGTAAGAAACTCACTACCGAAGAAAGAGATACTTCAACAAGTACGCAGGGAGAAATAGACCAACAACTAACCTCATCTATGTACGAAGTTCGCCGAAGCCCACCGAAATCATTCCCCTCATCAAATCGGCCATCTTTACAAGTCGGTGCTAGCCTTCAAGCATTAAATTCGCGAAAAGCAGCCTTTAGCTCTTCGACAGCGCGAAACCCACCAGCCTCACAACAGCAAGCTCTGAAAGAACCATCGGGCTCTGAGGGTGAATCTGAGGAGGACAGTAACGACGACTCGGACTCAGATGATGACGAAGAAACGGCTAAGCGTCTTACGTCTGCCCTCTCAAGATCTTCACAGCAAAGAAACAAACCTCAAGCCAAACCTGCTGGTTCTGATGCCGAGAGCGACGACGCGGGCTCTAGTTCGGACTCCGATGCAGGAGAGGATCTAAAGGCGCAAATGCGCGACGAACTGGCTGCGAAAATCGCGAATATGAATAGACCTGATAGTCAGAAGAGCTCGGGGAGCAGTGTGAAAAGCCCGAAGGTGTTGCAGGGTTCGCAGCTGAAAGAGAAGAAAAAGGATCGGTACATTAGTGGACAGACATTCTCGCAGCCCTCGTTGTAATTATAGTATCATAAGAATAAGGATACTTGTGAGTTGGATCGCTTGCTCCGCGATGTAATATTTGTATATCTTAAGCGGAATAGATAGTGCACACATTGGTTCTGGTGGGATTATAGGAATCGAAGATATATAAATACCAGTCTTTCGTGCCTCGTAACGCGCGCTGTGGCACATTCGGGTAAAACTATAACAGAAAGTGAAAGCTGTTAGTTGGAGGCGAGGGCTGGGGTATATTACTGGCTTTTTTGTTAAGTCTGACTCCCTCCTTACTTGTACGTAGAACTCGATGCTAATAATATACAAGGAAGCATAAAAAACAGTTCAAAGGTTTATAATCAGCGGGCCTTTCATAGCAAAGGCCGTAAAACAATAGGAGTTAATATCTAGTGTAATATAAGCGCTACTCTACTGCTACCACTCTACTAAAGCTGTAAATCAGGCGTTCACGCCGGTTGAGTCAGACGCCGAAATCCCCATCTTACGTTACGTAATACGGGAGCCTAGGTATCCTATATCAACCTTCCACGCCCTTCAACTATTGCCACTCCTTCATCAACAATCACATCCTGTGAAATTCGAACTCGGTTTCCGGATTATCCATTCGAGAAACCAGTTCAAGTCTGCGATCATGGCCGAGGTAACCCGCATTCTTGTGCTAGGAGCGACAGGCTACATGTATTAATTCTCCTCGATGATGCTTAATCAGGATGTGACTGAACTTCTCATAGCGGCGGCTCTGCACTTGCAGAATTACTAAAGCACAATGTTGATGAGCCGGCACGGTATACGATATCAGCGCTTGTTCGAAAGCCCTCTCAAGCCTCGAAGCTCGCAGATGCCGGCGTCAAGCCGCTGATCTTCAAAGACCTTGATGATTTTGAAGTCATTCGTGCGGCTGCAAAGGACCATGATAGTATGTCCTTCTTTGGGAGGATATGCAGCAAGTTTGGCGTTAATAGTATGCGAAGTCGTCCTCGCTGCTGCATCAGCAAGACATTACGACTGTGCAAGGGCTTGCATTGAAGGTCTTGGAGAACGTGGTAAGAGTACCGGGAAAGCAACTCACTATATTCATGTAAGTTTTGCGGTTCCAGAGGGGGCTTGCGATCGTCGTTGATTTGTTCCAGACATCGGGGGCGAGTAATGTTGGAGACTGGCCGTTAACGGGCGATCGAATTGATACCTCTATTCATTCTGATGTCAACGAAGATATCTATGAATTTGAAAAGACTCATCCAGAGACCCTGAGTCCAGTGCGTAATGTTGACTTACGAGTTGTCGAGCTGGGCGAACGGCATGGCGTACAGACGTATATTGTTATTCCACCTCTTATTTGTATGTCTTTTTTTAAGTCCCAAAGTCGGGCAGGTATTTATAGATGGCTAATAAAAACAAGTCGGTCCTGGAACTGGTTTGTTCACTCTGGGTTCTGGCCAGGTTCACCAAATTATGCAGTTAGCACTGAAAAAGAAGCAAGCTGTTATGTTAGGTTCGGGCTCTGGTGTATGTACTTATGCACCTCCTGGTGCTCTATACTCTATGACTCACTTCTTCATCAGATCTGGAATCGGATCCACATCCTCGACTTAAGCCGTCTATTTTACCTCCTAGTTCAGGCTATCCTCGATCACAAATCTGATCTGCCGAGTGGCAAGACAGGCTACTACTTTGCCGAAAATGGGTTTCAAAGCTGGAAGAGTATTGCTGAAAAGATAGGAGGGGCGGGGAAGACGGTTGGGGCATTCGAAACGAATCAAGTGACCAATATAGAGTTGCAAGATGCTGCAGATGTGTTTTTCAATGGCAACGGTAGGGATGCTGAGGGTGTTCTAGGATCCAAGTAAGTTCCTGTCGTAAAGTCTAGTATCAATACTCACGCGGAGTAGTTCGAGAACGAAAGCTGATCGAGCTCGCGGAGTTCTTGGCTGGAGTCCTGAACGTGGCGAAGAAGAGTTTGACTCTGAGATAGTGAAAGTAGTTACTGCCATGTATGAGGAGACAGTGAAGTCTGGTTGAGGGAATTGGGGCTCTGTATTTCAGTTGCAGAGTAGCTATAGCTCATTGGCTCCTCGTCGTACTCTGTAGCACAAAGCAAACATGGCTGCATCAACGCCTTCCCTGGATCCTTCGTACTATATACAGCCACGTATATCATGTCATATCCAGCTCTGGATTCAAAATGTATTAAGATAGTCCTAAAATACACTATCATTCGTTTGTAGCAAACTCAACAGAAAGGGGTAGCTTGCTTCAAGACTATTCCTAATTAACAAGACGTCAAATTACGAGACTCTCTAATCAAAAGGGGTACCCAATCGAAAGCACATAGTGATTCGCAATTGGACATCTCGTAAAAGCGCGAAACGAAGGGCAATGGACATAATTAGTAGGTTGTGTTTGGGAATACCTAATAAATACGCAAGCCTTGCATGAAAATCTACTTAGGCACTTCTGCGACAAAATAAGTCAGGAAATGGAACCAGGCAAAGCTACAAATTGCAACATTCTACTTTGCCTTCTCGCCTGCTTGACCTTCTACCAGCACTTCAGGGAAAAGTCCCATCTTCGCGCCAAGAAAATCGGCATTTACACCGTGCCCTCTCAAATCTATCCGAATAGGGTCTCCAATCTGTCGAAATCCATGCTTAGCATAAAGTGGAATAGCCAATGCCCCAGCTTCAAGGTACGCCGGTACGCCATCCTTCCGCGCCCGATCAACACCCCACTGAATCAGCATTGAAGCAGCGCCTTTGCCCCTCTGCGATGCGCGCGTAACCAAGTGCATCAGGATCCAGCATGGTTTGCCTTCTTCCTGCCACTGCTGTCGTTGAGAATCGCGTGATGTGAGTACGAAGTTATGCAGTTCGACGTTCATGCCCTTTGGCCATGGCCGTCCTTCAACAGCGTTATGGGTCTCCCAGTGGATGCCTTCCGTGTATGAGTAGCCGTTGGGATACCAGTGCCAGCGTGCCATGCTGATGATTTCGCCCGTTTCTTCGTCGATGATTTTGAGATATCGCGCGCTTGTATCGCCAAGAAAACGTTCTCTCTGCTTCGTCATGTGGAATTCAAGTCGACTTCGCGCTTCTGGTTGTGTGGTCACGAGCCAGCAGATTGGCGTTGGTGGAGCGACGAGGTCGTCTCCAGGTGGATAGATGTTTGCGTGGTCAGTCATAGTGTCGAAGTCTCCTAACTCTATTTCCTGGAGTTTGAGAGGCATAACGAGCGACAATTTAGGGTGGAGAAACGGGTGTTGGTTTCGAAAATTGGTCCCAAGAGTGTTATGCATATGTAGGGGGAATTGACTTTATATCGTGGCAGATAACAGTGGAGATAACACTGGAATTAAAACAGCAGGACAATGGGTCGCCCCCACTTAAGAGGTGTTAGTCTATCAGATAATTCAATAGTACGTGATACTCGATGTCAGCTTCAGGGCGTGTAATATCCACTTCAGCTTTCAACTCGTGAGTCATCATCACCTGACTATTAGCATAAAATACTAATCGGGAGGGACCAAGAACTGTCATAGAGAGAAGTCCTGAATTGGACTAATTGAAGTATTTGCAGCTTGCAATAAGTGAGGGCGCCGCGGGGATATGAGACGGTTAGGGTTGTTTGGGAGAATACCGGACACGATGATAGAGTTACCAAGCTGCTACCACCTGACCGATGGAGCAATAGCTTTAAGTCTCTCAATCTTATGCATGAGGGAAAAGCTTCAACGCAAAGCCAGTGCAGTTTGTTTCATCCTCAAATGACAGCCCTCGTCCGCTTGCCAGAACCATCGTTCCCAACAATTGGAATCACGCCATTGGGTCTCAATAGCCCTACCATAAAGGTCCCCCATAGGGTCCTGATAGAGGCCAATGACAGATGAAAGCTTTGCTTGAGCTTTTAGATATGAATTCGCTGTAACAATACCGCTATCCGAGGATACTAGGCCATGGGAAAATGAAGGTGTCCACGGGATGACTATTTCAACTCTATCGAGGATTTCGAAGGCCTTGATGAAGTTATTGTAATGATATGATATGGAGCCGTGAGACACATATGGCTTTGATATTCTTCCTTCGTTATACTTGATTGACTGTTCCAGCACCAATTCCCGGATGTTGATGGCGTGGGAAATAAGTGCAGTTGACTCATGCAATATTGGGGCATCAATCTTAAAGAGACCAATTCCTAAGATAAGCCCATTCCTGTGGATAGATTAGCCAAGGGTTTCATGAGTTACATTATAATTATAGGACTTTTTGCAGAGGCTGTTTACGAGACTGCCTGCACTTTCTGAGACACCGTGTTGGTCACAAATCACCGCTTGAAAGGCAGGTCAAAAGGGGGCTTCCACATGCAACCCTCATAGCAGATTCGTACAGCAAGGAGATAAAGAGTAAATTGAAGACTCACTCGACAAGTACTGTGATTCTCGTGAAAGTGAGCACGGCTTTCTTCGTCATATCTCCAAAGGTCCACCCGTTCCCTTCATGGAGTACAAAGCGATTATTCTTATAGAATATATACAAAGCTTCCTGATATAGCTTCTCGTCCGGCCTCGGGGCTTTGATGAGATCCGGAGTCCTACCATTCCATTCCACACACAATGGTCGGAAAATCTGATCCCGGACTTCAGGAGGAAATCGGTGAAAATCATTGCAAGCCATGGTGGGAAGATATGGACTAATCAGGGGATTTGCCAAGTCCGTTTCTTAGACAATGAGACTCAAAACTGGATAATTCTGATTACCAGAAGTGGTTTCTACGAGACCGTGACTCGTGAACAGCCTTGTCAGGGCTATCTGCGTAAATGGGCGCGGAAATTGCCTGCTATTCGAGATTCATGGCTAAACTGGCGCAGGATCTAAGGTGCGATGAGAAACGTGGTGGGCGAATTGAAGTTGAGTATTGTTGTTGATTACTAGGATACGAGATACGCGGTACTTCGTACGAGTATATCAGAGGATCAAACATGCTTACTAAGCGCACTAGCCTTCTATTCATCCTTGTCAGGTCACATTTTCTCTAAGAGTATATATTAATAGACGCAATACTGGCCGTGAAGACAGCAATGTTAGTTCCTAGGTCGCCCATAACCATTTGGAAAGCTACTAATTTCCATTGAGATACGTATGAAGATAATATATCAGCGTGTCGATAAAAACCGATAAAAGCCACGTGATTAGCCCTCTTCCGATTGATATTTCAGTTGGCCTACCAGTTTATCAACACATAATCGACTTTGACCCCTTTGGAAACTTCCCAAAAGCATCCAAACCTGTCAGTTCCGGAGGAGCAGCAGGAATGTTCTTCGGCGGCCTCACACTCGGTTTCCTCTTATCCCTCCTCGCAGGCAGGCTTCAACTACGTCACTGGGTACGCAAAGGCATGGTGTTGAAAGTGGCAAGCCAATATGGTGGATATGGGTACGGAGAGCACGCTTCCGAGTCATTAAGTCTTACAGGCAGGAGGGAAGGTTGCTTGGTGAAGGAGATGCAAGTTCGAGCCGTATCATCAAAGGACCTCGAGAGGCAGAGTATTGTAGAGTCGCAGGAGACTGCTGTTGGAGGAAGCTGCGGATATGAGAGGCGACGAGAAGTGTTCGAGATATACTAAACAACATTGACAGCAAGGTAAATGCAAGGAAAGGCAATACCATGGTGGATGTGAGACCGAGGACTAAAACATTTATATTCATGTCTAATACCATAGCCAGTATTGGGAAAAACTCTTTTGCCGTGTGATATTCGTAGAAAATGCAGAACTATAACACTCAGCCCAAGCCAGGCTAGAGTAAGATCTAATCAAATAATCAATATCCGCTCGTCCAAGAAAATCCTGGCGGAAACAAAGATTGATCGGCAGCGGCGGCCATTATATCATCTTCGTCATAATCATCGTCCTCCCAGTAGTCGTCCTCGTCTTCATCACCATCCTCGTCTTCTTCAGAGTCGGAATCGAGAACCTTAGTGCAAGTACATCTCCTCCAGCCATAGACAGGATGACACTTCGGAGTCGACCACACCTCCATTTCATCTAGTAGCTCTTGGGTTGGGAGCCAGTTAATTGCCTCCGTACCCGTATGGAGCTCCTTGCAGCTCTCGATCTCTGTGGGGAGGTCTTCGTAGAGAGTCATGAACGAATCGTCATCCGAATGAATCAGTGGTTTCATTTCAGCTATATCTTGAACAATAAGTAGCTCTTTCAAGCCCGAAAAATTGCCCAAAGCTCGCTTCAATGGTGTTTTCATGTCGCGGAATGGGAAAATCGTTAAAATGTCTGATTCAATGGCTAGGTACCGCAGCTTAGACAATTCCCGCTCGTTCATGATACCCAAGAAGTGTGGTATAAAGTCCTCGAAATCCGAGCCGAGAACCAAGATGTCCATAGAAAGGTTGAACCGAGTGTGGGCAGGATGGTAAATAGAGCCAAAACAGAGGGGGTATAAATCGATGATTAGTTCCCGAGATTCCTTGCAAACTCTCAACGCAACTGGTGGTTCTGCCAGAGATGAAAACCCCTGGCCAGAGCTGATGCCGTGGTAACGCATCTCGACTACGCGAGGTAGCAACGTCCACTTCCATATTGCAGAGCGGATTTCCGTAGGGAGTTGTGGGAAAACTGTGAAGGTTTTATTCGGGGGTTGATTCACCAAGGGAATTGCAATCAGGTTTGGGATTGAACTTGAAGTCGAGCTCGAGGAGGAGGACGACGACGACGACGAGGAAGATGGCGAGGTATCCATTGCGACTTGGTTGCTCAAGACTCGTACTCTGGCAGTAGAGGGGCTATTCTTTTCGGACGCGGTATGCGGATGGCGTTAGGCACTTGGTTGATCACAGCGCATAATAAATACAGTCAGTATGCTGGATGCCTCAATCAGCTTCAATGCACTGCACTGCACGGCGATGGAATGATATACTCACATACTGGAAGATTTCTTTGTACTGCGGCGAGGCTCTGTACTTGGTTGTATATGATGTTGTTATTGTGGTGTGGTCCATCGCCTCGCATCAATTGAAACGCGGCGCGGCCAGAAGCTGAGTCAGCACAATCCTGTGTCACCAAACCAAATCAGCTGAGCTGCCTTGAGTAAGTTGCAACTCCCGCTTCACATTGATATTGAACTCTTTGTATCTTGCATCCTTTGACCTTTCTACCTCTACCTCACTATGTCGCTCGCCAACATGGAAACCATTCATCAGCCAGCACACTTCACTTGCTTCCCTCGACTGCCCGCTGAGCTGCGCCTCAAAATATGGGAAGCAATGCTACCAGGCCCCCGCGTAGTCAAGATAGAGTACCATACGGAATGGGGAATGTTTCATGGGAAGAGACTCTCCAGCTTTACCGGCTGGATAAGCTCTGAGCCTGTCCCCATGGCCCTCCGTATCTGCCAAGAATCCAGACAAGAGGCACTTAAACACTACCAGCTTTCTTTCGGGTCTCATTCCCATCCCAGCAAAATCTATTTCAACTTCTCACGAGATACTCTGATGTTTGGGCCTAGTCGCATGAATTACCTCGATGTGTTTCTGGGTGGTGAAGATCATCGTGCTAATGATGTAGAGAAACTCTTGTCGATGATTCTCTATCGCAACGTTGGAGAAAACGAGGAGTCATATAGCATGAGATACTTTGTCTGGGACGAGATTTGGCCCTTCACCAGCTTGCAGGAGTTGAAGACCGTGGTTTGCCAAGCGGACCTTATCTCTGCCGACGAAATCGTGCATTACTATCGATCAACACTGAGAAATATCCAAATTGCCCATCCTGAGTGGCGTAGTCCCAGTATTTCTATGATATGCGCAGAAACTGGTAGGACATGGCGGAACTTGGAGCTCGAAGAAGCGCAATGAGATTTAGGTCACATTCAGGCTCTCTTCACGACCATTTGTGATGCATTCAGGACAAGCTTTCTCCGGCCGAGGATCAGACAGATATGTCACTTCATTTGTACTTCGTACTTGTTGGATGACTGATGAGGATAATGCGGCTCCGGGGTTGACGAGTAATTGGCTGAGGTTCCGATGCAATTTGAGAGCGATGAGGCATTGGCAAGGAACTCGAGTCACGTTCTTCTACGAAGTATGTTTCTGGATGAGATTCTTCAATCTTCCACAGCTCACAATCTTCTTCCTTCCACCAAATTCCTCCCATTATTTGGACTTCTATTTGAGTTCTATGAGAGACTATCACGATGGCTATGACGAGAAAAGTCTTTAGTACTTTCAATTTCCAGAGTGGTGAGAGAACTTGGAAATAATGAGATCCACCTTTCAGACCCCGGTGTCTACAGCAGGGGGTTCGCGAGTAAACTAACAACTCTTTACCTTTAGCAAGACAGTAGAAAAAACTTCAGTCTAAATGGGTATCTGTGGGGCTCTATGCTATTGATATAGGGGGAGTTTTATAGTGGATTAGAGGATGTCCTATCTGGTATCTGGATTGGGCAGAGAGGACCCAGATGTGTTACATGGTCTTTGACGCGTACAGCACAATATTGGAACCAAAAAAAAAGAAGAAAAAGAATAAAAACCCCCCTTCAGTCTTCCTGAATGCGAATCATCTCCGTTGGTTCTAAACAATTGTTTCATTACGCAACCATGCATCCACCAAGCAAGACCCCAGTCTGCAGAACAGTGTCCCTGCCTTGTCACCGGGATTTTCCCACGCTCTGCACGATTACTATGGGTCGCATGTAAGAGAACTCTTTATCATTAATACTGGAATTGCGCGAAAGATAAGAGCCCTCCTTGTTTTTTTTTCCAGATTGTGGCCATCTCGTTGGTGCCCGGGGTCCTGGATCCGTTGTTTGGGGAATTCGTGCTTGGCGCCAAAGATGATGCCATTCGCAACCCTGCAACTCGGTCGGTCCGCATCGCATCACGCCTTTCTATGCAGTGGAGCCCATATCCCATTCAAAACTTAGATTTCATCTCGTATAAAGGCCGTTGAACTCCGGGAATTGTTGTCCTGCGCTTTCTTTACGTATATTTTGCGACACCTAGTACAAAGAAATCAAACCGGAAGGAAGTCTTTCCTATGTCTCAATCAGACGAGAAGGGCGCCGGCCCCAACATTCACGATAGTGGTGGTGAAAACATTCAAATCTCTACTACGCAAGCTCCCAAGAAAAAATGGTGGAATATCGGTGGTCCAGATATCAGCTTTGCCGCCGTGGACCCAGCCCCAGCATCGAACTCGTCTTCCACGTCGATTAAAGATGATATCGAGACTAGCGGCGCGCAGACTGTTCAAGGGAGTGTGTTCGATGATTCCAAGGCTGCGGAGCTTTACCAACCTGTTGAAAAGTATGAAGGCCGTCACAGATTTGATCCAAGCGCTACTTGGACCGAAGAAGAGGAGCGAAAGCTCATTCGGTCGGTAAGATATCCTTCATAGTGGCTCTAATTACTCTGTCAATTGACATGTTGCGCAATACAGCTTGACTGGAGGATTTGTCTACCGGCATGCATCATGTTCTTTGCGTTGCAACTGGACCGAGGCAATCTCTCTCAGGCTTTGTCGGACAATATGTTGAGTAAGTGCTGCGAGTACATTGTGCAGGTGTTTCCAAGTTATGCCTCATGACTGACGATTTGCAGAGGACCTGAAAATGAATACCAATGATTACAACAACGGAATGTCGATTTTCTACTGTTCGTTTCTCTTTGCTGAACTTCCGTCTCAGCTGGTCAGCAAAAAAATTGGCCCAGACAATTGGATACCGTGAGAAGTCCCATCTTCATTCTGAGTTGCTATCCAACTAATCTTTACGTAATTCTTAGAATTCAGATGTGTTTATGGAGGTATGTCAACTAAAGCCAGGATCCAATAGCTTTAGTTGACACCAATATTGCAGTGTTGTTGCCATTTGCCAAGTGAAAATTACAGGCCGTACAAGTTTCTACATAACTCGATTTCTACTTGGACTCTGCGAAGGGTATGTTCACCCTTGCCGAAAGCATTTTCCGTAACAAAGCCCATGAACTAACTTGTGAATTTGTGACAGTGGATTTATACCTGATGTGAGACTCAACAATAGGGAGCTAGCCTAAATCAAGGAGCTAACTGGCATAGGTGGTTCTATATCTAAGCTATTTCTATAAAAACAAGGAATTACCCGTCCGCCTTGCATTTTTCTGGACTTCTTACGTATCCACGAACATCATTTCAGCATTTTTAGCCTATGGGATTCTTCATCTTCGTGGTCATGGTGGTATGGCGGGGTGGCGTTGGCTTTTTGCAATCGAAGGCGGGCTTACCGCTCTCATTGGAGTTCTTTCATGGTAAAACGTATTCTCGAATACCACGGTAATTGTGCTAATGTTAGTAGGTTCTATCTTCCTCCTTCGCCTACACAAACCAAGGCCGCGGGATTGAAAGGCTGGTTTCGGGGGAAGAAAGGCTGGTTTACGGATCATCAGGAGGTCATTATGGTTACCCGGATCTTGCGTGATGATCCTGGAAAAGCTACTATGCATAATGTTCGTTCTTATGAGGGTATTCAACGCATATAAATACTGACATGACTGTAGAGACAAGCAATAACGCCAAAGTTGTTATGGGAAAGTCTAATTGATTTTGACATGTAAGACTGGTATATTCCTTGTCTTGGATGTATATTTAACAACGTTTAGGTGGCCGATTTACCTGATTGGGCTGACCTGGACTGTTCCAATGGTAAGTCCTTCCTTGAATCTAGTTCCAAACAATGCTTATATTGAATGCAGACACCACCAATGAACTACCTCACTCTCACCCTGAAGTCCCTTGGATTTTCAACTTTCAACACAAATCTTCTAGTCATCCCTTCGAGTGTCCTGTTCATGATCCAGCTACTTTTCTGGACTTGGCTTTCAGAGAAGCTCAATCAAAGATTCCTCATCGGACTCGTCAGCCAGATCTGGGTCATTCCATTACTCATCGCTCTGGAAGTTCTGCCTGCACACGTTCCCCATGCACAATGGGTTCGCTACGCAATTTCATCCTTAATTGTTGGGTATCCTTACGTCCACGCTATACTAGGTTAGTCCCCAAAAAACCCCCGAGTCCTCAGGCCCCGGATGCAACAGTTACTGAGATTGAGATGCTGTAGTTGCGATAACCAGTAGGAACGCCGGGACTGTACGCACTAGAACAGTCGGGTCCTCGTTATACAACATGGCCGTGCAAACAAGCAACATCATATCAACACAGGTACGTTCAAACGCTCCATCCCATCTTCTCCCCTCACTAAAATCCCACCCACTTACACAATCCCAGATTTACCGCGACAAAGACAAGCCTCTGTACCGCACAGGCAACAAAGTCCTCCTCGGAATCGCCGCATGGAATTTCTGCCTCTTCATCGGTGCGAAAGTGTACTACTTCTGGAAGAACAAGTATGTCAAGTCCCCACATTCCTTTCGTTTGTTTTCCTCGCGACGGCAAACTAAAGCCATCCTAGGAAGCGGGACCAGATCTGGGATACAATGGACCGCGACCAAAAGCTGCATTACCTCGAGACTACTAAAGACAAGGGGAATAAACGGTATGCAGATCCAACGCTTTGAAACTTTCGATAGGCACTGACATCTGGGAATCCGCAGACTTGATTTCCGTTTTGCTCACTAGTCGTGGTGGTAGACGGGTAAATGCACTGTATAAGAGCCAGATCTTAGGCCTGTATATGTGTTTGCCAGGCGGACCATCTGATAGCTGTAATAGTAAACCCAATGCGAAAGAATGAAGCGTTACTAAAGTCTATCCTACCTACCCCCGTATAGAAATATGACTCCACACCCTTGTTCCCCTCAATCCTACTACCGTTCGCTAAACTTTGCGCCGCCCTAGGTATTAAAAGGAATATTCAGATCAGATTACTATAAATCTAGATAAGCAGACAAGAAATAGTCCGCTTACTTCTGAGAGCAAAATATAACTGTTGTAAAAGGAGGAAGGAAGGAGAGAGATAAAGCGTTTTACGATAGGAAGTTATATGTATAAGTATAGCGTAGCGTAATGATCATCTTTAGCAAATGAGAAAGCAGGGGTGGCTTAGTAACACTATAGCGCGAAAACCAACAGCTGACAGAATGACGGAGAAAAAGCTAGCTTGTTTCGAGAATATAAAAAGGCGAGATGTGCATTTTTACTGGTTGGGACTTTTCAACCTACCCTCTTATCAGATTCATTCATGCCAGCTATTAGCGACGAGTATAGTTTCTCTAACCCTAAAACTCCCCCTCCCCCCTAAGATTCCAACCCCTTTATTTAGTTTCAGAAATAAGTAAAACACCAGCTTTCCAAATCCACCACCACGCAACCCTATTAAACATTCTCCGCTCTCCGCAACATCTCTAAACCCCTCTTATTCTCCTTATCATTAACCGTCGCGTCAATCAGATGCGCAGAACGGAATCTCCAATGCTTGCTAGCAATAGGCTCGTTATATAGCTTGGGTTCAGATTAGTAGTTGAATAGCCAGCCGCCGGCCAAGGAGGAGTTCATGTCTGGGGAGGGCAATCAGCATCTCTAGGGCAGCATGTAAGCCGGAACGGGCAGCGGTTTTAGCGAGGATATAGAGCTTAGGCTTTAGGGACGTTAGTATATCTGCAGAAGATAAAAATGGTGAGGAGAGGAGAGGAGAATTAGCATGGGAACGGATAGGGATCCTACGTATTGCTCTCCCCATATCGTGGCAGTACCATGTAGAGGCTCGGGAGATTTCAGGGGCTAGAACTCAACAACGTAAACGTATTCCTTTGCTGGTCCCCCAGTCCCCACCATACCTCTTCAATAGAAGCTTCGGATCGGAAATTGCACGTCGAGTACGGCGTCTCTAAAGACTGCTTAAAGAGCGCAAGGCCAGGGTTATAACGAATATAAGTACCCTTATAGTCTCTATAGCAGGTGATGTTAAAGCCCCCGCGTTATCCACATTCCGGGTCAAGGGTATCGCAGAACGCTTTATAAGCATTGTAGAGCTCCGGAGATATACCTGCGGCTGTGAAGTGAGCGGTTAGGATATTATCAGCGGAATGATTTTTCGCTTCTGCGGTTTTAAGCGCTAGGTACATGTCCTCTAGTTCTTGCTGGATGCGGCCTTGTTTTTCCTGGAGCCTGAGGATGTTGCAGCGGATTATATTAGCATCTTCTACAAGTGAAATAATAGGGTGGTCAAGCAGAGGAGAAACTGTAGCTTTGAATAGGTAGTCCTTTCCTCCTAAGGTGGCTTCTAACTTCTGGTAGAGCAGTTTATACTTTTGGTCTCGAAGCTCGGCGAAGGTCTTGAGGGGAAGTAGGGCAGTTTCGGTCATTTCTGGTACGATGATATCTCTAGTCTCAAGGTTAAAGAAACTAAAACCATCTTTATGCTTAACTCTATCGCTATCGAGTTCTTTAGTAACCCTAGGAAGAGAGATATCGAATTTAGACACCCTATGCCAAGAATCAGAGTTATTACGCTCGAGCTCCGAGCCGAGAGCAGTGTTTTCTTCTGAGGTGGCTTCGTTTTTGATAAACTGCATTTAGTAAGGCATTAGAACATGTTCAACTGACTGTGCTTCAAACAGTGCGAATCCGGATAAACATACCACACTTGCGGGCTCATGGAGTTCTTCATCAGTTGCAGAAGCTCCACTGCTATAGTCAGGGAACTCATCACTGCCAAGGCCGTCGTCGAAAATATCCCTTGCCTCATCATCCTCATACTCATCATCATTCTCATATGGTGTTCCAAACTCGCGATTTATCAGCTCACCCATATAATCAGATGTCTGCACTAGTCCGTCTGGGTCGTATATAGGTATACGTAGAAGTACGCCGTCTGACCATTCACTGGACCTATTATCCTCATGTTCCCACACACTATTGTGCGATGTATCGTCCGAGTTGGAGATATCGACGTCGTTCATTGCAATATCCTCTGCATCAGCCGATTCTGCCGGGCAATGTCAGTCCAGGACTTCAATATGAACACGCGGGTTCGCCAAAAGACAACGTACCGATTGGGGAATCATTACGAGACATGCCAGAAGCAGGCTCTTCACCCATCTGAACGCCAGACTAGGACACGGTCAATATCCATAATATGAGATATAGTTGCGGTAAATACAACACCTACCATGATATCGATCTGGCGTCGTTCCTCGACGCAAAATCACAGAATATTCCTTGTCGAAAACGACTGGCGATGAACAGGAAGTGTCTTCTTAGATCAATTCCGCAAACAAAGCCAGTGAATTAAAGCAAGTCAAGACGCAAAGCTAAAAGTGGTGAAAGATCTGTGTCAAATATTCAAGGTTGTAAGAAGGGGGAAAAGCCTTACCTATATATCACTACGGCCCTTCAACCTCCACCCTATCGACCTGAATTCACTTTCGACGATGTGAATCTCGCTTTCTCTTACTATTGACATTCAATTGTGATAAAATTGAGGGGGTTGGGAGCTTGATTTGGATAGCCATAGTTATGAGAACCCTTCGAATCGATTCTAATACGCTAGGAAGTTCGCTGAGATCAAAGAATTTTCTTCTTCTATTCACTGCAGATAGGGTCTTGTAAAGATCCTCAAAATGTTTGCTAGGTAGAAGTGGAAATCGGTAGATGAAACGCGAAGTGCCCTGTACATAAAGAAGCCACTAGCTAATTGCGCTTCACCTAGAAAGAGCGATGCACCTCGTCTATGAACTTTAGGTCACGTGCTAGAAACGTCTTTGGAAACACTTGCAAAGTTATCGATGAATAGTACTTTGAGGGAAGGAATAATCTATAGACGGCTCTACATATCAGCTGAAGATTAAATTACAGCGGTTGAGACCTGAAGAGATGTGGAAACAGAAGCAGAGATTGAGTTACCCCACTCTCTCAAAACACATGAATGATACTTCATGGGGGTTAGAAGAGCAGGGTAGAATGACTGAAAGGGCAATTGAGCTTTTAATCCCCTCTAGAAAGTCTCACGCGATGAGTAGGAGGTTAAAAGGTGTCGATATTCGTGGATGCCTCGCAGAAAGATACAATATGCTCACTGCGAAGTATTTAGTTACAAAATGTACGCTCCTTTTCAACTCCAACAAGCACCTAAATACATTCATTATTCACAGGTCTATGCGTGTACTCTCTTATACAAGTAAATGGCCCTCATTTAGGACTGTGGTGGAACCGTTCCTCCCTTCGAAGCGACAATGTGGTCTAAAATCGCAATATGCTGCCGCAGCTTGACAACCTCCCCTTCCAGAACCTTATTTCTTGCTTCGAGCTGTTTCAGCCGTTCCTTAGCGCGAGTCATGACAAGAGACTTCGAAGGCTTGGTGCGGGCTGGAACGTTGTCAGCATGTCTCTGGAAAGCAACAATTCTCCGAATCATGGCATAGCTTGGAGTGTCTTACAATCCGAAGATGTCTCAAAGAGATAAATTGCCAAGTCTGTGATTTTGTCGTTTAGTCTTTCTCGGTAGTTCTTTTCAACGACAGTGTGTGCTCGTTTTGCATTTTTCAAAGATTGTTTATTCAATTGTGTTCTTTTGAGGCGGGATTTGCTCGAGGCACTCGAAGCACTTGCTGATGATTTTGGCTCCCACGAGTAATTATCGGAATCCTCGTCCTCTATCATCTCATCAATGTCGGTGATTTCAGAGGGCTCCGCGGGACTGTTCTGAGGTGATTCATTCGAGACATGAACACGTTGTTCGAATACTGGACGCGGATACCCTGCATCTCCATGAAACACTTGATGACCTGGACTTGGAAACGTCGATGAATATGGAGAATGGCCATGCAAAAAAGAAGAGATAGGTGGACTGTGACCGTAAAATGGCACAGAGGCCTCGTGTTGGTCCAAAGCTGCCGTAGTATATTGCCAAATTGGCATTTCAGGCGGGGGAAGAGAGCCAGTCCAGTCATACTGACAAGAATGTTAGATTGACCCATACACTAAAGAAACGGGAAATTTACCCTCCAGCTTGGAACCTCGACTGCCTTGCTCTCTGGCATTGAAAGATAATTTTGCTTAATAACAGGCTCCATCGTGAATTTAAAGTGAAACAAAACCCAGTGCATGAGATGGTGAACTATTGTGATCCCAGGAGACAGATTTCTTATGTGGTGCTCGAGTACTTGGCCAACTTGGCATCTTGGCTCTGCAGTCAGTTGTGGTCGCAAATTTCCTACCATCAGTGTATGCCTGCTGTAGCGTTCAAGCGAGGGCTCATACGTATCGAGTGGCCAGGAGATTTCGTATATGCCCCGGATCTCTGTAGAACTTAAATGCCCCTGACAGGGCGGCTCCTCATTTAGGTGGCAACAGCAGCAAGTCATCATGATTCATGAATGTATGTCGTGCCTCCCAGTTGCAGACAGCCTTTTGCCAGAGAATCGTGTCCTAGGCTCTGGATTGTGACAGGAAGCTCCAGCTCAGTTCAGCCACCCGGTCCAATACTGTACTCCCTACGCTAAGCCCCACGCACTACAGAGTATTGCGTTCACATTGAGCTGAACCCGTTGGGAAGAGACGTTAGTGGGGTTTTCAGAGGCTCGAGAAAGGGTCTCGTGGGAGTGTCACAGCTGACAGAACTTGAATGCTTCTGGAATTAGAACTCGGGAAGGAAAAAAGGAAAGAAAAACGTGCCCGGGTGCAGGTCAGCAACGCCAATTCCCTTGGCTTCGCTTATTCACAGGGCTTCAGTGGATGCTTGGCCATTAATGACAGGCGCCTACTCTTGATCTTTTTCAAATCACTGGTGGCACATTTCAGCGTTTCAGCGGCAGTCTAGTAGCTTCAAAAGAAAGCCCAGAAGACCATTACCCTTATTCGGCCATCGAACATGTAGTTTTACGTCTCCGTCCCGCATTTATCGACCGACACAGGCGATTTCAGATCGAACGGATCTGTGGTAAGCTCCAATGTCAGGCTGATAGCCCTTCATTTTGTTTACAAGGGACTAACAAAAGCTGTAATAAATACAAGTACTTAATCCTCAAGGTTTGCCTCTTTATCAGCTAGTCTGAGGATCTAAGAGGCACGAATAATTATATATCGATTCTGTTGACAATCGTGGCTTTGCACGCCAAGTTTACGCCTAAAACTTGGCAATGCATACACTCAGCTCCTGGCGAGCAATAGAATACCATTGCTACCTTCCGAAATGGTTGACAAATACATTTAATGTGCGGGATGCTTTCCAATGATATAAAGGGCGAGTAGCGAGTTCGAATCCTGGGCTACATACAAGATCCGGGGCTAGACGGTGATCAAGGCGGCAAGTAGGAAGTCTACGGCATTTCCCACTAGATCTGGAACCGTAGTTAGACGCACGGTAGACAGGCAAGCTCTTGCATCCAAGTAAAGTGGTTTTCTGATCTAGAGTAGCTGTAGTGTAGGAAAATCTGTCCGTTTCAGTCTTTTCCTAGGGAAGCAGGGAAAGCAATTAACAGGTTGGTGTGAAGGGACATCTGACTAATGTCACCACAGATCTGAAATGATCTCTTACTGTAATGCCACTTTGGTATTTTCCCTTTTTCGTTCGAAGAATAATGAATAACATTTAAGTATGCCTACTATTTAGACTCTCCTACTATTCGCGCCCCTCTTTCCTCACATTGATTATATCCTTTACTCCTTTACTACCTTTCCTTCTCTTCTCTTTTGTAATTGAAAAGCAGACTAGAGCTTATACTCTATTACTTTTCTATGAGGCTCTACTAGATTAGATATAGAATACAGCTTATAACTTAGTTATTACAGAATGATAAAAAGGATAAATAGTAGTAGTAAGTAGCAAGCTTTGCATTTATCGCTTTTAAGTGGACATGTCTAACTTTGCCCATCCTAGGGAAGTATCCTTCAATAATTAAATGCACCTATAACTGCATCATCAATCATAACGACGGAAGAGAAAAGGAAAGAGTCATCTACGTCAACATACTGCAAAGAAGAAAAAAGGAAGTCTAGCTAATAGATTGTTTAGCAATTAAGACGTGAAAGTACATTTGTCACACTCTTAGGTAGGATCATTAGCTAGATTTCTTTGAGAGTGCGGGGGCTAAAGAATTGTAGTTTATGATGAGGCTGTCGATACTCTGTTTGCTGCACTCGCTGTGGTTGAGTCAGTTGCTGCAGTCTCTCCGCTGGAATTGCCTTTTCGTCTTTTAGAGGCAGGAGACTTGCGCGTGTGGCTTGAAAGACTCTTATTATCTAGTCTATCTATTAGATTTGTACCGATTTAGGAAATAAAAGCTGCGTTTTGTTATACTTCAAGGTCTGCGTCGCGAATTCTGGTCAGTACCAATTGATAATGTGCTAGGCGGATTGGGATATCAAAAGTCAACTATAGTAAGTGCGGCGTTTATCTATCTAGAATGAGGAGCATAAGGTGTTTTGGTGAAGAAGGCCGTAAAACACTGTAGGATTTAAATACGTCTGGAATTCGTCACATGACACCCCATTTCTGATATTGATATAATTTCCCCTTTCGGAAGGTATACCCCGAATACCCCATAATTTGTGATCGACGCTTATCTGCCGGCGTCGCATTCCTATCTCGACGACAAAATTTTGCAATGATTTAAGGGAAATTTGGGATTGAATTATGGGTATATATACCCAGCCTGTGTCGAGTGTGTGGAGGCAATATTGAGAGCCTTTGAAATATGGCGTCTTGGACTGTGTACTGCGGGGTTGTAGCAATCGCTATATTCCTCCTTAGGCGACTGTATCTCAGAGTTGCACACACGGCATCTGATCATAGAGTAAGTGATTGAGCTGATGGTCTGGTTCCGGTGTACCAGAAACCGTGGATACCTGGACGCCAAGCAGCCGGTCCCTCTCTTGGTTGGATCCTCTCATCATGCTTCATCAGGCTATTCTTTAGCTTGAACTTCGGTCACTGGAGTCCAAACGGCTGACCAGTTTCGCAGTCTCAACTAAAGCCAAGAAATGTTTCTACTAGTAAAGAGAGGATTGACGTCGCAAAGGCCTATCAGATTACTCCCTTGGCCGATTTCGATTGGCAAGCCAAAGAACCACTCAAGTTTCGAACCTTTAAACCCAAGTATCATTTGACAATGGGTATGCGTATTCTCTCCTCTTCTGGCTGTCCATATTACCTATGATATTTGATACTCATGTTCTCAACTCTCCAACGTTATCCATCATTTTTTACTCACAATAACCTCGATGGCGTGTAGGCATCTCGAACTTGTCTCTATCGGAGCTCATCGAGATAGACCGCAACTATCTGTCTCGCATCAAGATCCGGAAGCAGATCATTCAAGATCATCACGATACTGTCATCCAAGCTTCGCCGGCCAGCAGAACAGCCCTTAATGAACTCTACACCTGGCTGACCGGCTCCTATCTACCAACCCGCTTTCCCTCCATGTTCACGTTGTCACCCACCCATCTACTCAATCTAGTTACTTCGGAGTCTCTTCCATTACAGCCACCCACAGACCCAATCCAAACTTTCGAGCTTTTAGGAAATAATCTAGATGAGGACTTCGTCCTGTTGCTGCCGTCAAGTGATGGTGATCAATACGAACTTAAGGGGTTCGTGACCTGTTTTCCTTCGGGTTTCAATACGAAAGAGAAGTTCGGGATGACGCTAAGAGATATTCATACCCCCGTTCCCGGGTACAAAGAAAAGTTAGAGACGAGCATGGATAGATTCTTTGCAAGATTGGAAGTGGGGAGGGTTGTACAGAGATCAAACGTAAGTTATCTCTTCAGTTCCAAATGGTCTCTACCTCTAAAGATTCACAATAATATGAGATATTTTCGAAAGCACCTTATTGACAAATATCCAGTGGGCTATAACAACCCATGGCCGCTTGTTTGCAGCGAGTGGCACCCACTTGTACGAAGGTGAAGAGCCCGAACCAGAGGATATCGACGTCAATAATGCAAGTCCTCTGCCACTCGATCCTTTCCTCTCGGGAACCTGCTAATTCCGAGGCTAGACTTTCCTCCGGTGTGAGCGTCAGCTATTACATCGACTTCCCAAGTCCAAGGCACTAGTGTTCTCATTCAAAACCTACCTATATCCCCTTTCGGATATCAAAAATGAAGGTTTGGGCGAGGACCTCGCTCAAGCTATTGATGGGCTGAAGGAAGGAAGTGTCCCTGCGATGCACTTCTACAAGCGGGGTGTTGTCTGGGGAGAAGCTGTGAAATCCTATCTTCGAGCCGAATGAGAAAAAGGCTGTATGCTCAGTCTAGGACGTGACTTTGCCGCTACAAAGCTGAAGTTTTGAAGCCCGAGTTTAGTAATTGGGGATGACCTGCCGACACGCTCAGGAAGCTTACTTGGGCGTATTTCACGCTTAAAGGTTAGTGGAGTTCAGGGGCTTGCCTGGCTTGGTTTGTACCTGAAGTGCTTGCTCGGGTCCTTTTATCGTGATGTATTTTAGGGAAGCACCTGCAGTCATTCTCCTGCGTTTGTGTGGCATGCAGATAGAAAAAATTAGAAGCTGAGCTGCCGACACGAGAATCAGGAACGATCACGACCCGCGGGATTTTCCATGCTTGTTGCCAAGACCAATCCCATTTCCTAATTTAGACAAGGTCAACATCACTCACCTAAACTCGCATGTAGCACAAAACTACAATTGCTTGAATTGTCCAATATCTCAAATTTTCACACCTATGGTGACCTATGGTGGTATAGTACCTCGAGTCTGCATATTGGGTTTGTGCAATATACAAAATCTACGAGTCAAGCTTGCCTATCATTGCATCTCGCTGAGATCTTGTATTGTAACGATCTCACTGCCAAGGTCTAGCTAAGAGAGCTAGGCTCACTGCTTTACTGTACCACACCACACTTGGGATGACAGGCTTGCCACACCGACACCTTGCCAAAGGAAAAGAGCCTCGGTGCCGTCGGAGAAATCCCACGCGGTATGACAGGACTCAAGCCACGTCGTGTTCACTCAACCTGCATTGAGGACCATCCCCTGCATTTTGATGTGGCTAACAACAAACTTGCCTCACCGACAACCCGGAAACGCTAATCTTACAGCAACTGCTTCTGCCTACGATGGCTATGTTACTTCAGAGAAGACGAAAATGCCATGCCATGCCATGTGGAAATTGCAATGAGCTGTATTTGGAATCTCGAACTGTGGGTAGCCGGTACATCAGCTCTAAGCCCTATGACCCGAGAAAGCAGAAACCCTTCAGTTCCAATGTGGCATTGCTCAATTGTATGCTTGTAGGCACCGGGATTTTCGTGGTGGCTTTGAATGATGGACTGATATCTCTTTCTACGCGTCATATATTTTCAATATTGCTGGGAAGGGTGTCCTGATGCCTGTTCTTGATTCCATTCCTGGTCTACCTATGGGATTTCTGCCCTACCGAATATTCCTTCAATACATAGCCAAGTTTGGTAATAAGGGGTTATGATTAGTGGGCTGAACGTGGAGGATCTGATGTATAAAAGGATGCATTTGGCAAGAAGTCTTGTTTCTCGTCTTAAGGTCTTTGATATTCCTCTGTCGCACTATAAAGCTTCATCCTAGTCCTCCATTTTCTCGTTTTTCACTTGTCCAACTTCACATCAAGCCAACATGCGTCTCACATCTCTCATTGTTACTGGAGTGGCAGTCACAGTGGTAAATGGCTTGAGCTTCATTGAAGCTCGTAACGCTGCTTTCGAATATGTCTCATCATCCATCGAGGTCTTCAAGCGTGCTGTCCCTGAACTACCTAAGCGCGAAGTGGTTCCAAGAAAGAACAATTGCCCCGCCATTTGGACAACCATCGTCAGCGATCTCAATACCATGTTCCTCGGCTCAGACGGACAATGCAATGATGATGCTCGGGCTGCTATCAGAGTAAGTAGTCCCTTCGTACTTCATAAACTCAACTGCTTCGCCGTCTACCCTTTCCATTGACTCTTTCCCTTCACCCCACTTCTCACTTTCAGCCAAGCAAATCATCTGACCAACACACAGGAATGTTTCCACGACTGCGGAACCTGGGACAAAACCCAAGGCTCCACCGGGGGATGCGACGGTTCCCTGATCCTCGCCTCCGAAGCCTATAACCGCGCGGAAAACGGCGGTCTACAAAACATATCCACCAAACTAACCGCACTCTCCCAAAAATACCCCTCCGTCTCCATTGCGGACCTAATCATTGTCGCCTCCTCCGTCGCAATCGTGACCTGCCCAGGCGGACCCCGCGTGCAAACCTACGTCGGCCGCAAAGATTCCAGCACTCCAGCACCCAACGGCAGGCTTCCAGATGCCCATGCAGACGCCGCGTCGCTGTCCGTGTTATTCGCAAACAAGGGCTTCGACGCCGTTGATCTCGCCGCACTCATAGGCGCGCATTCCACCAGCAAGGCATTCACACAGCCCGATATGCCATTCGGCGCGGCCCAAGACAGTACCCCGGGCCTCTGGGACATCGATTACTATGCGCAGACGCTGAGCACGGTGGCGAATGTGTTTAGTTTCCAGGCGGATCGGAATCTGGCGGGTGATGCGACGGTGGGGAAGGAGTTCAAGGGGTTTGTGGGGAATAAGGGTAAGTGGAATGGGAAGTTTGCGGATGCGATGGCGAGGATGCAGTTGCTGGGGGTGCCGGGGGGGAGTAAGAATCTGTTGGATTGTACGAACGTTATTCCGAGGGGGACGAATAATAAGAGGGAGATGAGGGCGGCGCCTATTAATGATCGGATTAGATAGATTGGTTGTGGAGAGAAATTGTTTCTTCATGCCTAGGCTGGATACTTGATGTTTGACTTTTCATTATAAAAAGGATTGGTCCCATGTAGTACTTCTGTTCTGTGTAGTTAGTATGTTCTGATTTTCTCACTTCTGTAACAAATGTATTGTGGCGCGATCAGTATTATTTCCTATAGTATCTTATGGCCTTCTCTATAGTAGGACTATCAATTATAAACCCTTAGGCTCTCTCTTTACTGCGCTTCTTTATGCTAGACATGGACATGAACAGCAACACTTACTCCGTACGCTTGTCGACTTTTAATTAATATTCTACGCTACCTGGCAGTACAAGGATTCCTATAGGGCCTATACGGAACGGAGTCCTACCTCTATTTCCGCACTGTACGTACAACTTATTAAGCAAATTCTATAAAAGAACATTGAAATTTTGTTTGCTACTACGTACAGGACGGCTTCGCGTATACCCCACCCCACCTCTTGTCCTTTCTACCTTAAAAGGTAAAGCGTTGCGGATCTTTATATAGATATAGGGGTATAGTATAGTATAGTATAGTAAAGGTCAGAAGAGGTAAGATCTTACCACAGCACCACTACGCAATCAGAATAACTGAAATACCACGCTAAGAGAAGATACGACTTATAGCTAAAAGAGGTATAACGCTAAGCTAATGCAAGTCATAATGTGTCAAGAAACTACGGGGCCATTAAGCTTTACCAAGCAAATTTCTTAGCATATCTGCACACGTCTATGAAAGTGATGTATCTCGCTTCCTGGCATACTTCTTCTTCCACGTCTTTTAACTTCATTTCTAACAGTCGATTAGTTGCTTGATAGTTCCTCGATATCTGGGAGATACGAGTAGAGGGCCTGAATTAACGCATTCGCTCTATGCCCGCCATAGCAATACGCAGTCATGGCATCGCAGACTCTCTACTTGTACACGGCAACAGCTCTCGCCGTCTTAACCACAGTCCTCGCACTCCGTCGAAAACGAGAACCTCCCAGACAGCAACCAGCCCCAAAGCCCCACCCATTAGCAAGCGTACCATCCGAGCAACTCCCAGAATACATCCAGAGTCTTCTTGCCAAACTACCTAATTGCGTCATCTTGCAATCTGACATCGCGGCCTTCCAGCAAGCCGTAGATGGTAGCTGGGCCCAGCCGAACCGCAAGATAATCCCAGCGTGCATCGTACGCCCTTGCGATGCACAACAGCTTGGTACCGCTGTTGCGATCTTAAAACGGGAGCAAGATCGCCGCGGCCAGGCGGGTGTTCCAGTGGCAGGGTTCTTCGCTATCAGAAGCGGCGGTGTCAATCCAGGGCTCGGGGCGTCGACGGTGCGGGATGGCGTTGTGGTTGATCTCAGCAAGTTTTGTGAGGTGGTGCCCGCTGTTGATGGATCGACTGTGACTGTTGGGACGGGTGCTAAATGGATCGATGTGTATAAACGACTCGATGAGGAAGGACTGGTTGTAATAGGGGGGAGGAACTCGCCAGTTGGCGTGGGCGGGCTGACTTTGCAAGGTAGGATTCTATCATTCTTTAACTAAGGTATGTTTGACGAGTCCTAACATGGCTAAACCAAAGGTGGGATATCTTTCTACTCTCCCAGGTTTGGCTTCGTCTGCTCCAATGCCGTGAGCTACGAGATCGTACTCGCCAACGGAAGCGTGGTGACGGCTTCAGCCTCGTCGCATCCAGCGCTATGGCGGGTATTAAAAGGCGGCTCCAGCAATTTCGGCATCGTTACTCGTTTCACGCTGCGTAGCCTGCCTTCAGCACCGCTGTGGGCAGCGCAGATCATCGCACCTGCGTCGTTCCAACACGCAAAAGCAATAAAGGCTTATCATGACTACCTCTCGCACGCGAGTTCTGGGCAGCCCGGCGCGTTTGATGAGAATGCCGCTGGCCCCATAATGTCCTTTGTCTACGTGCAGAAAATTGGCCTGAAGCTCATCTCTATTAATCTTGTGTATACGAAGGCCCCGGAGAACAAGCAATGGCCGTTTCATTGGAAGGAAACGGGATTCCCGTCGCTGTGGAGCTTTAAACGGAGCCATGCAGTCGAGAGCCACACAACGGCCGTCGAACGTTTTGGCCGTACTGCACCACCCGGTACCCGCTATACCATGGGAACGACAACCATCCGCAATGATGCTGAGACTATGAGGGCCGCCTACGCCATTTTCTGCCAGACGACGACCGAGCTGCGGCATGTGAAAGGCCTGCTGTTCCCCTTTGTCTTCCAGACCATCTTACCCGGCTGGGCGAATAAGGGCGACCCGAACATTCTCGGCCTCGAGGGTTGTACTGAGCCCCTGATTATCATCAATTGCGCCGTTATGTGGGCCAATGCTAAAGACGACGAGTTGGTCCGATCGGCTGTCCGCCGCACGCTGGAGCAGGTCGATGCGGCTGCAGTGGCAAGACGGGCGGACCACCCGTACAGGTTCATGAATTATTGCATGGAGTGGCAGCGACCGTATAAAGGTTGTGGCGAAGAAAACGTTAAGCTTATGCGGGAGGCTAGCCAGAAGTATGATCCGGACGGCCTGTTCCAAAACGGGTGCACTGGTGGATTCAGGCTAGATTTCTCGTCGTAGGAAGAGGTGTAGATTGGTGTTTCTAGGAATGTCTTTCGGAGCTCACTACCCTGCGGTTGGCAACCCCATGTATATATACTATGCATAGAATAGTACGTAATCGTACGTTAATGTCCCATGAAATGAATCTTCTTGAGCCCTGAAACCCCCTGTAAAAGCACTAGATAGAAATAGAGGTAGGCGGCGTAGGACATCAAAAGTCGATAGTAATAACGTATTGCTGCTTTTTCTACTTACCGCAAGGCTTTTCAAGATCCAAGAGTGGTGAACTTTACTTTCAGATCCCAACCACATGAATAAAATGATCAAGAGGAAGACATGTTTGAAAATGGAGAAGTTGAAACAATCGTGTTGAAAGTGGTATCATAGAACGGAGTGTTAAAATACCAACTCTTTATTGCCCATTACTTGTCGATTTTAGTCTACTACCAAGTTATAATCGGCTTGATGGTCACTCCAGCATCCATTTCAGACATTGCCAACTGAAACTCCTCGACCTATTGCAACATTAGTCAGCCCGCATTTTCTGCAAAATATCTCAGTCTCCTTACCGGATAGAATTTGACGATCTTGTCTATGGGAAGTTTTCCTTCTCGATGCCACTGTATCATTTTCGGTATATACTACCCAATTATCAGCTGGGCATTCGGAATTATTTAGTTTTACTTGCCTCAGATGGAGTAACGTCTCCTTCGATACTACCAAGTAATCTTTTTCCTGTCTGCCAACGTTTAGTCTCATTTTGTCTTGTGGAACTAAACCTCTTACCTGCATGAAACTGAAAGCATTTACAGTCAGCGATGCATCCATCGGTGGCACCCCGAGTAGAACCATTTGCCCTCTAAGGCCCGTGAAGTCCAATCCAGATGTGATCAAACCAAGGTTCCCGCTGGTATCTATAGTGATTGTAGAGCCATTACCTCCCGTCAGAGCTTTGATCGCTTGAGTGAGATCCGACTTGTTGTCAGATGTATCGATGACATGTGTTGCTCCAAAGCTTGTCGCCATTTCTAGCCGTGCTGGAACTCGGTCTACACCAATAATCGTGGCGCAGCCTTTCATTTTAGCAGCCTAGATGAATTAGCAGAGCTTCGCTATCACTAGAAATAGCAGAAATAGCTTACCATGATTGCAGTTAGTCCAACACCTCCGAGGCCCATAATGACAATCGTATCCTGGCTTCCCGCAGCTGTTAGATTCTCCACAGTCCCTATTCCAGTCTGAAATCCACAGCCCATCGGCGCGAGGAGTTTTAGCTCTTCCTCGTCGTTAACCAAGTCCGTTACTTTCACCGTAGATGATTCTTTGACAATCGCGTAGCTGGAGAATGATGATTGTCCAAAGAAGGCTCCTGATGCTTTCGAGCCGCCAGCGATCTGAAACACTTCCTGCTCGAAACCATAATTCATTGCTGCGAATTGCTGGCAGTAAGATGGATGATTCGCCTCGCAACTTTTGCATGTTGAGCAGGACCGGAACGATAGAAGCACGGAATCTCCCACAACAGCATTTTGTACTTTCGAACCTATCTTATGCACATAACCCGCACCTGTGAATATATTAGTACTGGGGTTGAATTGTATTGAATATCGTACTAACCTTCGTGGCCTAACACCTTTGGATAAGGTCCAGCTTCTGGAGGCATCGATGCAAAGAACATATCTGTATGACACACCCCGGTAGCGACCATGCGAATGAGTAGTTCGTTACCATCAAGCTCGCGTAGGTTCGCATAGTCCAGTTTCCAATTCGGTTTACCCACAGTAGTAGGCTCATGCGCGACGATTGCGCGCACAGAAACTGGAGTGGCAGTTGCGCCGTCCATTGTGATAGATTGCAGGATTTGGCTGAGTTGAGTTTGACGGTTTGTGATATTCGGTTGTATTGGATTTGGCTTTGCAGAAACCTTCTCGAGGTAATTGATGTCCAAGGTCGGATATGTAGGAAGAAGAATACTGTGACATTTCGTGCCCTTCCGATCTCAGCTTAGCCCCGCATGCTTGCGACATCCAAAGGAGTATTTTCGGTCGAAACAAAGAAGAGCAATCATTCTTACTGCCGTGGTGTATTAGCCCGGAGCCAATAAATCACACACTTGATGCTTACGGAGGTACCGCTGGGTATGATCTAGCTCAAGAGAGGGGGCGGGGAAAGGAAAGTGAGCCAGTGAGTATCCCGAAAAAGTACAGTCAAGAATACCGCAAATTGACAACAAGTTCGGAATTAAGTACGGATTCCGACCCAGAGCTCGGAAAAGCTAGATGGGTATAAGAATCGCTTATAAAAGGAGATTGAGAGGCCATGATTTTGCCTCGAAGTACATACGACTTGTTCGCCCCGCCTCATCATATGAAACCACGCCCAAAAGAAGCAGCATTATTCTACCGTCCAACCCCAACATCAACATGGTACGCCCCATAATCTTTCAAAAACCGTCCCCAAACGGCCTCACCTCTCTCACCAACTGCGACCGGCCATAGCACCCGTCCAGCCCCATCTTCCCACCCAATCGGACACTTCTTACCCCGCTTCTCCATCTCCAGGGGCATGCTCAAATACCCGGGATCCACAGAGTTCATTGCCACTCTCCGTTCCCGCCACGCTGGCCAGGCTTCTGTTTCCGTAAGCATATTGAGCGCTGCTTTTGTCAGGTTGGTGTGTACGTGTTGTCCGTTTTTGTGTTTGGATTTGGGGTTGGCTTCGAACATGCCTTCGCGGGCGGAGACGTTGATGATGTGGGCGCGGGGTTTGGTGGATAGAGGGAGGGGCGATTGAGAGCGTGTTGTGCCCATGAGGGGGAGTAGCTCCCGGATGAGGATTAATGGGACAAAGGTGTTGACTGAATGGGCTGATATAATGTCTTCGTAGGGGATTTCGTGGAGGGTTTGGAACCACGAGCATTTATCGCTTGCGTCTTGGACTGCCATTGACGTGTGACCATTTATTGGTAGATTTGCGACCATGTTATCCCCATCTGGCGTGTTATGGATAGCCTCTACAATTTGCTCCCTTAGCTGAGACAAAGTGATCAGAGGTTCTGACTCCTGGGTTCCTCCTCTGACGCGAGGCACATAATCAGATGCAACAAGGACCCCGCAATGGGAGGCTGATCTTTCCAGGTATAACATTTCTTCCTGCTCAATCGCTTCTTGCTCTTTCTGAATAGAGTCAGTCCAGGTCTGAGCGGCGTTGTTGACCAAGATATCCAGTTTTCCGACCCCACCAAAGTCCCATTGCTTCAAAATTCCTTTCACACATTCAACCAGCTGAAAGACGTCTCGGGCAGCCCGGAAATCTGCCCCGATAATTTTCAACGAGTCATGCCAATTCCCAGCGTCCGACTCTGCCAGGTATCTCAACGCTGCATTCCGTGGATACCGCGAGGATATGATGACCTTTGCACCACTCCTCAGCAATCGAAGTGCTGTGTGAAAGCCCAGATGGATTCTTGCTCCAGTCACCAAAGCCGTTTTGCCAACGAGTCGCAAGTTTGATGGAAGTGATAGATTCGATGAAGCAAGGTTGAACTCTCCACATGCCTTACACAGAGACTGATATTGAGGGTGCGGGGTGACGAGCCAGAATTGACAAATATAACATTTTCTCTGCGACTTGGTAATCTGCATAGACTCTCTGAGTGGAGCCCGTGGTACATGGTCTTGGTGACCAAAAGAAGAATTCTTCAGAGACTCTTCCAATGTCCTGACAATGTCCTCCAAGGACGTCGACGCCTTGATCCTAAACCCGTCTTCATTCTTGATGGAGTCCAGGACTTTCAAGGTTGTTTCATAATCCTCTGTTGAAGGATGATATCTTGGCTTCTCTATTCCAACACTTGGCAGATCTTCGAGTCGATGCTCGTGAGTCATGTGCGTCAGATATGCTTTGATACTTCCGACAATCCCAGAATACTGGACCATCTTGATAGAACGAGAATATTTGGCGGTCTCAGGACATAGTTGAGTTCCAACTAAGTCTGCTTTTTTAGGACTCAAAGATTGAACATATAGAGCCAGCAGACTTGGTAGTCTGCCAGACCTGCATGCTTCCTCATCTGCTCGTAGTTGGCAAGCAATTATTAAAGGGTCTTCGCTCTCTAGAAACTCTTCACAAGCCGCAGCCGAATTTAACGCGACCGCGAACCGCATAATCGAGTAGGAGACTGTAATTTCACAGCATTCGAAACCAGTTGAATTTTTCTGTTTTCGTGAAGTATATTTGGAGCATATGTTATTTTATTCGCATTGGTTATTTTCTTCGGCGAAACATATACCCGAGAACTGCAACTGCATTCAGGCTACAGTCTTCTTTTATTCATCTCGACTCAGTCTCATCCGAAAGAAGCTCGACTGTAACTATATGTCAAATCTATAGATCGTACGAATTAAAGTCTTACAGGAATTGTCAATTGAGTGCCACATGAGATATGGAAGGGATCCCACCTTCACCGCTCCCGACCCCGTAAGTAAAATTTCTGCTGTCATATCCCTCTCTCAGATGCCACTGGGACTTTGAAGCACTTTCAAATATCTTGGACCTTTAGAGACATTAATAAATAAGCTCAAATTTTAAAATCCTTCTGCGCGAGGAAATACTGACATGAAGATCTTGCAGATTGCGTAATCTCCAAAGACTTCCTCGCGAGGTAGTCCATCAGATATTGGATGATTTACCAATCGTGAAAGTTCTTCAAATCCTATCTCATAATGACAACGTAAGTTATGCTTGTTTTGTTCCGCATCTATGAGTTTTCTAGAGTAAACTTCCATAAACATATTCCCAAAGAGCAGGATCGTTTACACCTCTTCAAACATTATCATGAACTCGAAATCACATTTGGTGAAGTAGCGCTAACTTCCCTCCTTCATTAGTTTCTGAATGGCTGTGTCTTCAGCCATTTGAAGTACCAGCGATTGTTCCCTTCAGTAGCACGTGCCGCTATGATAATGGAGTGAGTAAATTTTTGGAGCATCTGGTTTCTTTGTCCAGAAGAATATGAATTCCTCTTTCAACGTCTCTGCGACATTCCAAAACCCCTAGTTCACATTTCGCTTGAAACTACACTACTGATGAGAACCTGTAGGTACTTTATCCTCCACAGAGAAATTTGTCGATTTTCAGCTCAAGCTCTGTCTGGGGAACATTCGCCGGCTGGTGACTCATATCTTCTGCAAAATATCTCCATTATGAATCCTCCAGTCGGATCAACTAGCTTGCCCAGGATTCTGATCGACCACGTCGAGATAAGTTTGCGATTAAGCACGCTTCAAGAAGAGATCTTGATGCCGTTTCGTTCTGGACCTTTGCCCTCACTTGATGACACGCGATGTGACAATCTTCGCGCCCGTTGGAACTGGATTAAGAAAGCAATTGACAGGATCAACAAATCAAAAACGCGGCAGAGAGCTTTCTTGGCCCAACTTATGTCTGTGGATCCTTGGAAATCCATGCTCAAGAAGCCACTTGATCCGTCGCAAGCTGGGCCACGGCCCAACACTGCTCACATTGCGGCTAGGTTTGAAGGGAACTCGGAAAAGAGCTCGCGGAACACATCAATTCCTAAAAGTTTTAACGGTCAATGTGCTTACGGGATCGATCTAATAGAGCTGGTGCCTTATGACCGGTATCTTGGGGTATTCTTCAAAGCAAGCGAGAAGTATCCACCAAATAGCGATTTAGATGCTTCGGAGCAGATGCAGAGTATGCAACTTTTCCTTACTCCCTTGTCTAGGCGGTCTCGGAGCATAAGTGATTTTGGAGCTTCCGAGATGTCTGAGGGATGCTTCTAAGCTTTGAACTCTTTCTTGGCCCAGCAATGCTGACCCGCTATTCTTCAGATATGTCCTTGAACGAGAACAAACAGCAATCCGACTATAGTCAATACCCAGACGACATAGCGGCCGACATCAAAGTTGTGCAAGATGGGCTGATGTATGTTTATACCGGCTCTCCAAGAATTGTGGTCCCGCGAATCGAATGGCGATCTACGGGAGGAAATGGCTCGGAGCGGACCCCGGTATTTTCTATCCCCCCTAAACAGCACCGAACAAGTCTGTGCCTCCCTCAAAGCATACACCGATGCGCTGGGAGGAGAGTAAGACCCTATGATGATAGAGAATATAAATGGTTGAGGGCGTTTTTGAAGGTAGTTAGATGGATGGAGATTCATCTTGACGTCGCCGCCGACAGCTCTGTGAATCTCTCAGAATCTGTGAGTATCCCGAAGTGACGGCGGAGAGCTTATTCAAGAGGGAGAAGGTGTACTCGCAACCAAGGCATGAATATATCAAGATAATCTCAAAGGGAGGGTTATAGTTGAAGCATCACGCTTGTAAAGCTCGGGACTCCATCCTGACTGGCTCCCCCTTCTGAGTTACAATATGTCGGATCTGGCATGGTCGATAGAAATCATAAATCGAGTCAAATGCAAGCTTCTTTGTTTCTAGGGTGACGGTGAAAGGACTGACGACCGGAAAATAAAATCCCATGCTATGAAGACATTGGTAGGAAATACTGCAACGACTACCCGAGTACGGTATAGATGTACCTTGTACAATGAATGCTTTGCACAAACGTAGCAGAAATCCACATGTTGCGACATGCCACAAAGAATAAAGTGCAAGGCAAATATACAAAATGGAACGCTGGAGGAGGTTGAGGTTGAGATGAGGTGAGGTTAGGAAGAGAAGGGAAACCAATTTCCAGCGCAATGCTCGCTAAACTTTCAGCGACTCAATCAGCTGCTTATGTAAATACAGTACCACTTAACGCGTCTCTCTTCCCTCGACGCGTTACCCAATTCTACAACTATTGTCCTTCAAAGCCCAATAATCAAAATGGGGAAACCAACTCCTACCCCAAGGAAGCAACAATCAATCGCGAGCTTCTTTACCCCCAAAACCGTGAACGGACTCTCGAAATCACAGCCATCCCAAGCTTCACAGACGCCCCCAGCGCGCGAGAGTTCTCATGTAAACGATGAGCTCTACAGCGAGAATGACGAAGAGCCACTCCAGTCCATCACAAATGGGGCTTCAAAGAGACCAGTAGCGGAGGATGCGGATGACAGACCATCGAAGCGTGTCAGGAATGAAGAACCCCGCACAGATGCGCAGAGCAGTGGCTTCTTCTCCGCACCACCACCACGACAGACCTCCCAGGCGAAACCCTCCCCACGAACCGAACGATACCTGTACAATGGCTCAAGTCAACTTGCAGGTGTCGAGTCTATACGGGAGGAAGAGGAGGACGATCAAGCCACTAAGGCCAAGAAGGAGGAACTGCACAAGAAGTTCGTGAAGAAGCTGGGACATCCAGACAGTCTCAAGCGGAGGTATCAAGTTCCCGAGGAAACGGCAGACGCTGAGGGAGACGAAGATGAGGAGGATGAAATGCCAGCTCCTGCAAAGACCAAGAAGAAGGGAGCTAAGACGGGAAAGTTGACGCCTCTGGAGTTGCAAGTTCTCGACATCAAGAGGAAGCATATGGATACACTGTTGATAGTAGAGGTGGGCTACAAATTCAAGTTCTTTGGCGAAGATGCAAGGGATGCGGCAAAGGTATTGAGCATAGTGTGTATACCAGGGAAATTCAGATACGATGAGCGTACGTTGTCCCTGTTAGCTATGGATGAGCCCGCCTGACTTCTTTATAGACCCATCCGAGGCCCATCTGGACCGTTTTGCCTCAGCAAGTATCCCCACCCATAGATTATCCGTACATGCAAGGAGGTTGGTTCAAGCTGGACACAAAATCGGTGTTGTTAGGCAAATTGAGACAGCTGCTTTGAAAAAGGCAGGAGACAATCGAAATGCACCCTTCATACGGAAGCTCACCAACGTCTATACGAAAGGCACATATATCGATGACATGGAAGAGCTTGACCAACCAGGTGATCCCTCTAGTGGTGCTCCAAAAACAGGATATCTGCTGTGTATTACTGAGACAAAAGCGAAAGGATTGGGGACTGATGAGAAGGTCGATGTTGGCATCCTAGCCGTTCAGCCTGCAACTGGAGATATTATCTATGACACTTTTGAGGACGGATTTATGCGGAACGAGCTCGAAACACGACTACTCCATATATCACCATGCGAATTCTTGATAGTGGGAGATCTTACAAAAGCTACGGACAAGCTTGTACAACATCTTTCAGGTAGCAGCACCAATGTGTTCGGAGATCAAGTTCGTGTTGAGCGTGTGGGCAAGAAGAAGGCTATGGGTACTGAAGCATACTCTCATGTTGCCCAATTCTACGCCGACAAGCTCAAGAAGAACGAAGAGACGGGCAACGAGAGAGAGCAGAATCTCCTCGATAGGGTTCTCAAACTAGAAGAGTCAGTCACGATATGTCTATCCGCAATGATCACCCACATGACCGAGTACGGGCTTGAGCACGTCTTCGACCTAACAAAGTATTTCCAATCCTTCAGCGCCCGCTCCCACATGTTGCTCAACGGAAACACTCTTACCAGCCTCGAGATCTATACCAACCAAACAGATCACACTGAGAAAGGCAGTCTCTTCTGGACTCTCGACAAAACCAAAACTCGATTCGGCAAACGTCTACTCCGCAAATGGGTCGGGCAGCCTTTGCTCGAAAAAGACCACCTCGAAGACCGCGTCTCCGCAGTGGAAGAGCTGAAAGACGGGCACCAAACACCCAGAGTGGACCAACTCCACGCGTTGCTCCGGAACATCAAATCCGATCTAGAACGCAGTTTAATCCGCATCTACTATGGAAAATGCACACGTCCTGAGCTCCTCACAGCCCTGCAAACACTGCAACGCATTGGCAATGAATTCGCCCACGTGAAAACCGCTTCAGATACTGGTTTCGAATCTCCGCTCATCAGCAACGCCATCGCGTCTCTGCCCACGATACTAGAGACTGTGATATCCTTCCTGGACAAACTCAATGCTGAAGCCGCGCGAAAAGACGACAAATACGCCTTCTTCCGCGAAGATCACGAGACAGAGTCCATCAGCGACCACAAATTAGGAATCTGCGCCATAGAGCAAGACCTCGACGCGCATCGCTCAGAAGCAACATCGAAGCTGAAGAACCACCGCCCTGTATCCTACGTAACAGTAGCTGGCATCGAGTATCTAATCGAAGTGCCCAACAACGAATTGAAGAACGTCCCTGCATCATGGATGAAGATCTCGGGCACGAAGAAACTGAGTCGTTTTCATACACCTGAAGTAGTTCGATTGCTGAGGGAGCGGGATCAGCACAAGGAATCCCTATCTTCAGCCTGCGATGTCGCTTTCTCGGCCTTGTTAGCGGAAATATCAGCATCGTACACCCCCCTCCGCGATGCCATCTCATCTCTCTCCCTCCTCGACGCTCTGCTTTCGCTCTCAACCGTTGCTTTGTTCCCAGGCTACTGCAAGCCGACTTTCATTTCCTCGCCCGGTGCATCTATAACCATAAAAGACGGTCGGCACCCAATGGTCGAACAGCTCCTCTCAAGCGCATACATCTCCAACTCCACATCCCTCTCAGAAACACAACGCGCGCTGCTTGTCACCGGAGCAAATATGGGCGGCAAATCTAGCTACGTCAGACAAGTAGCACTTATCTGCATCCTGGCGCAAATCGGGTCGTTCGTGCCGGCCAGCTCGGCTTGCTTGTCACTGCTAGATGGCATCTACACGCGAATGGGAGCTTTCGACTCGCTGTTCACAAATCAGAGTACTTTTATGGTTGAACTGTCCGAAACCTCTTCGATTCTCAAGTCGGCGACAAGTAGGAGTCTTGTGATCCTAGATGAGCTAGGAAGGGGGACTAGTACGCATGATGGTGTGGCCATTGCGGGCGCTGTGCTGGATTATGTGGTTCGGGAGACAAAGTGTGCTTGCTTGTTTATTACCCATTATCAGACGTTGGCCGGTATGGCAAGGGCGTTTGAAAAGGAGGGGGAGCTGAGGAATGTGCATATGAAATTCAGTGCTCAGGAGGGAGGGGATGGGGAGGAAGAGATTACGTTCTTGTATGAAGTGGGTGAGGGAGTGGCGCATCGCTCGTATGGGCTTAATGTTGCAAGATTGGCTCGAGTACCGAAGCCAGTGCTGGACACTGCAATACGGAAGTCACATGAGATGGAGATGGAAACCAAGCAGAAGAAGCTGGGCAGTCTGTCAAGAATGATTGCCAATGTATTTGAGAGTAATTCCGATCAGTTTGATCAGCTGGTGAGCGGCATAGAGCAACTCTAAGGCTGCGGTTATGATACAACGAGGGGTAAGAGCAACGTTGAGCAAATAGCAATGTAGACCCAATAATTCATGCCATTCGTGTACTCGTTCCATCGTGACGTATGTATGTCGTGAATGTAAAGGAAGGAACTCCGAATATAGAAAAGCCAATAAAAACAATAATGTTACGTCCTTTGATAATATCATGATCCCCGTAACGCCGTAGACGGTTAATAGAGCGTCTTGATGAATAGTTGGAGAATTGCAGATAGTTCAGTTGTCGTTCATGCCAGAAGCAGAAGCAGAAACGGATGCTGATCCGAATCCAGGTCCAGATCCACTTTTAGCTTTTCCGGATTGATTCCTGGGCCGAGCGCGAGCTGGCTGGGCAGTCTGTGACAAGTCTGCGTAGGGGTTGGGGGCAAAAGCAGGGGAAAACTTGACATCATTGAAAGGATTATGATGATCACCGTATCCGAATGTACCAGCGTAGGCATGGTTATAAAGTGGGTTGGAAGAGGGATTGTAGAGTATCTGAGAAGGGTAGACGTGGGAAGGATAAGAAGCTGACTGTCGAGTAGGCATGTGAGAGTGCATGTTTTCCTTTCCCAGACTGCGAGCTGGGATGGCCTTTGGAACAGGGGTCGGTGAAATATGGCTGATAGTCGTTGAATTGTTTTGATAAAGAGGTAAACCGTTGTTAGGCAAGTCGAAACTGCACGAAAGTCAGTAATGTAGTCTCAGCAGTAGGCTATGGCTACATACCGATGATCCTCCAATGAGCTCTCTGTTTGACCTTTGGGATTTAGCTGGGGGACTGAAGTGGCGCTTGTTGAAAGCATACCTGACGGACTCTCTCCAGGAGCATCTTGAAACACTCCCATGGTAGGCTTCTTCTTCAAGCCACCGATAGTCATCTTGAACTCTTCTTCTTCTTCGGTGGTTGGAGCAAAGTTCTGCCCAAAAGCCGGACCAGGAGCCAATGGATTGAGATTAGGTACTGGCTTGCGGAATAATCCGACAGCGGGGACATTGTCATTCATAAGTGCGTACTGTTTCTGGGGGCTCTTGCCGGCCGCTTTTTTTGACCGAGACGCACGAAGGCGAGGGGCGTTGATACTAACTTCTTTCAAAGTTGGCTTACGAGTCCGACGCTGCCTCTTGGGAGTGGGATCTTTAGCCTGTAGGGCGTTAGAATAAGCGAAAAGATCAGTTGCCCAAGATTTGATGAGTGTAAGAACAAAAAGGGTAATACTGGAAAACATACCGGACTCTCTGCATCAGAAAGAGGACCGAAGATATCTCTGGACGCCCTGAACTCGCCATCTGCAAAGTAACTAATCTCAGCTGGCTCAATCTCAGCCGATCTGGCCTTCATCTGCCTCATAACGTTGACATCCTTACGCTGGTTCCTCATTCTCTTCATCTCTGGGGTAGCGGAATCGAAAAGATCCATGCCTGGCCAAAGTGCACCTTTGAGTTGAGCACTGTCCGGTATCTTGTCTCCGTTCTTCGACTTCTTTTCGATGGCGGACCTGGATGGGGTCTTGAGTCTGATTGGTTTGTCAGTACCTTGATGTCTGCATAATGAAATCATATGTGGGATAGGCTCACTTTGGATCGAGCAGCCGACCTACTGGAGACTCACTATCCGCAAAGTTTGGTACTCGGCGTCGAACAGTTGGGGTATCGTAGAGCGAGTTGAATCCCCAGTCATCCTCCATAGACACAGATTCTCTGCTTTTTGCCGGGTTGTATGGGTGCATAAGAGGAACAGGAGCTCGGAAGAGAGGGGTACTATCTAGAGCAGGTTCGTAGGCAACTTCTTCTTTTTTGACCTTTGGAGAAACAGCCATTAGTATAACTATTCCGCAAGATGACTTCTAAAAGCAGGTGTGGCTGATACTCACCGGAGATTTGGAAGCATTGGAAAGCCTGCTCTTCTTATCCTTGTTTCTCTTCTTCTGGTCCTTTGTAGCAAGTCGATCAGATAGCAGAGTATCCAGATCATTGCCGCTGTACCATAGTTCGTACTCGTCGACCTTGTCTTTTGCGTGTTGCTCTGCTTGGGAGCGAATCTTGAGCTTAAAAAGGGCAGCTAGGTGGGATTTCGAAGAAATGTGGGTAAGCAGATGCGAGATGTCGGAGAATTTAGGACTCTTTGGGCAAAGACTGCAAATGAGAGGGACAGAGGATCCAGTTTTCATCTTTGGAGGCATGTTGGCAGTTTCTGCTGAAGGCTTTGCGTTAGCTGCTGGAATTGGAGGATGGTAAACATGATGATCAATTGGAGCTGGTTCGAACAAAGCTGGGTCCAACAGGAAAGGGTCCAGATAGGTGGGAAAATCAGGCGGCATAGCTTGGAGGAGAGCATACACATCAGGGTAGTGCATTTTGGGCGGGGTGGAGTGATATTGAATGAAGGGATATCGGTGAATGTGCTTTTGGTTGTGAAGAAGGCTTGTAGTGGAAGTCTGGTCTGTTGGTGGATATTCTGCAGGAGATGTCTTTGACATTCGTTGACGGGAGATGCGGATGGTAGGTGGGTTCCAGCTCTCAATCTGCAAGTGAGCCGCATGTGAAGGGAGGAGATGTGCAAACTATTTTGCATCCTGTAGCAGGGAGGAAGACGTGGCAGAGTAGAGGTAGGCATATCCCATGGCTTGTGAGGCATTCAGCAAGACCGGTAAAGGAGGTGATATCGACCAGCATGATAGTTGAAGTTGGGCCAGTTGAATGTAATCCGTGCAAAGTGATGTGTAGAAAGCAGTGGATGCGAACATCGAGGTATGTGGAATACTGGGAGAGGAAACCGAGGCCGGGAATAGATGAGCTGCACACCGCCCACGTACCTGTTCAATGGATATATAGTACCTAGGTACCCGTAATCATACAATGTTCAGTGACTGCCTCGATTGCAGCTCGTCGGTGGTGAACGATTACTCTCGTCGCTGCTGCTGAACAGATGGCAAGGTAGCTATCCTCAATCGCAACTGCTGGAGTGTCAGTATCAGTATCAGTATCAATATCCGCTTGCATCGCTACTTCTCGGTCGAGAAGAACGAAGCAATCCATATAAATCGCGACTTGTCTGTCGGAGTCGGGTGTAAATAAACAGAGACGCAAGGACGTACCGTACTTGCAATCAGCAATGCGAAGAAGACGCAAGTGGAAATGCAAACATTTGACTGACCCGAGCAAGAGGGAGGCAGCCGAGTCGTGTTGAGAGGAAGTGTCGGGGTGGGTGAGGGAAGGAGGGAAGGAAGGAAGTTCGGAGGAGAAGAAGACTTGGAGACAAGGAGAGCTCGCTTGGCCTTGGCGTACTTTTCGACGAGGAAGGAACATAGCGGGGAGGACTAACATGGGAAAACACGTCCGAATATTGCTTGTATAGTGTTCACGAGTTGCAGAAAGTCTGGGACTTTAAAACAGTAGAATTGATTGTTGCATTTGACTAATAGCTGCAATTATCAGATTGCGAAAGCCGTCTTTGGCAGCTACTATCATCCGCCTTCGAAGCGGCATGACAGTCGTGCCTTCCCACCGCCCAGAGACAGGTTGCAAGCGTGATACTACAGAAAACTATATACCTCAGGGCTAGCTTTCGACGAGGCACGGTCAGAGAAATACATCGAGTAGATACGTATTAATATCTCCGAACAATAGAGTATCGTGAGAAGTAGCTGAAGAAACGTCCCGATGATGTTTCGAGCCAATTGAAGGAAGGCAAAGACTGTTGAGACAGGAAGATGTATCATCAGCCTTTGAGAAACCAAACTAAAGAACAATATGCTTTCTCTCAAAACCAGTGAACTCATTCTTCTCCTGCCTTGTATCCTTCCAACCACGAGTTACGGTTTATGTATCGGTAGTAGGTTATTAGATGGCAGGAGATTTTTGTATGAAGATAGAATAACGTCAAGAATACCATTGAATCAAGATTACCAGCAGTGAGAGGATCGACGTCACATAAGAAAAGGGTCAGGTTTTGGATTCATGATATTCATCAAGTCATCAAAAGTCGTATTACTTTGCACCAAGCACTCGCTCGACGACTGTCTTTGGCATGCAGCTATATTCAGATCAGTATGCAGAGCACAGAAACTTCCGGGACAAAGCCACTTACTAGACAGGGTCAACCTCCTCCACGCCAGGATATCCAAGCAATGACAACCCAGCAATTCCAAATACTGTGTGGAAGACATCAACCATATCACCCGGACGGTCAGCAAGGCCGCCTTCTTTGGGATCCTGCTTCTTGTCAGCATATATCTCCAAATATTCGTCCATGTACACTCACCTGGCACTTCAAGATAAACTCCGTCAACTTCCCCCCATCAATCCAATGCAGCCGTCCAATCATCGCAAGACTACTCGCAACCCACCAACTATAGCACACATCCTCAAGCTTCTCCGGCCTTCCATTCAGCCCACCAGCATCCACCTGTCTTTCGCTAAGCCATCTACCCAGCTTATCTCCATTCACAACGTCCAATCGTCCAGCAATGCTCAACGCTCCAAGACATGTGAAAATTTGGCCGGAATGCGATTCAGCCCCCGGGCTAACTCCATATCCACCATCGAAATTCGCACACGAGATGATGTAGTCGACTGCTTTATTGACGTCTACCAGGTCCAGCAGATGTAGAAGGGATAAGGCGTTCAGGGCATCGTAAAGGAATCGTGTATCTTCTTCCCCCCATTCATCACCCGCAAATGTCCCTGTTCCTCGATTCTGAAGGGCGGCAATATCTAGTTTCCAGACAGTCCATCAGCATAAATCCTTCTGCGCCTCGGAGAACAGGACGGGATGTACATTTTCCCACACCCAGCTTTCCTCCACTTTTTCCCCTCTCCTCCAACACATCCAGCGCATCCACAGTAGCAAGTACTTGCACCGCACTGACCGTATACAACAAATGCGCATCGTGTCCCGGCGCCGCCCCAAACCCTCCGTCTTCGGTCTGGCAGCTCAGCACAAAATCAATTGTTTCCTCTCGCGGTAAGGCATCTGGTCTCCCTAGCAGATGCAGCGCTGTCAATCCCCAGTACAAGCCATTTAGTCGTAGGTGTTCGGTGAGCCAGTACTCGATTTCGTCTTTACGCTGCGAGCAGTTAGTAATAGAGCAGACAACAGGGGGGGCAGGAAATACGGTGTCGAGGCTTTGGATATATTTTACATGCGGCTCAATAGCTAGCTGGAGCTCCTCTGGCAGAGCAGAAGAGGTTCCTGCACGGCCTGGTCCTGATACCAAGGACATATTTAGTATGGAATTTGGAGTTGGAGCTGTTTGCCTAAATTGGAAGAGGGGATGTCGTAACAAGTGGGGGATTTATTTGGTGCCATTTCTGAGCCAATCAGATGCCTGGACAACCTTGTCTTACTCAAGTCATGTCTCGCATGCCTTTATATCTTCATAATTACACGATACGGTCTACCAAACACTCTTCTCTCGATATAAGATTTCTCTTCAACATTATACAACTGTAAATAGCTTCTGCCACCTTCTTTACTCCTAACCCTTGGAGCTGAACGGCTCGGGGTTTGAGAAGTCCCGACTGACAACCTCTGGATTGGTCATCGACGAGCACTGCGCGTCTTCAATTCTTCTCTTTTATATGTCTCTTATTCTTTTTCAAGCTCCAAGTAGTTCAGCAAAAGCAATTTCTATTTCTAGATTCCCTAGCAGCTGCAAAACACAAATTCTTATCTCTATCTCTATCTCTATCCCTACGCCATCACAATCATGGCATTCCCACAAGCAGAAACCTTAAGCTCCGGCCAGCACCTGTACGGCTCCCTCCAAGAGCTCTGGAAAATCCAGACTTCCTCATCTGCCGCAGTCCATCCTGAACTACCACAAACCTCAAGTTCACGGCTCGAGTCCACTTCAAACGAAAAGACAATCCTCTATCTAGCCTACGGATCCAATCTCTCCGCCCAAACCTTCCTCGGAAACCGTGGCATCAAACCCCTCTCCGCAATAAACGCCCACATCCCTTCTCTCTCCCTGACCTTCGACCTCCCCGGAATCCCCTATATCGAGCCCTGCTTCGCCAACACACGGTACCGCGACACCAACGCCCCCCCTCCTACAAACGATGACTACCACAAGGACCGCTGGCACAAAGGCCTCGTCGGCGTCGTCTACGAAGTCACACCCGAAGACTACCGCACAATAATAGCGACTGAGGGCGGAGGAGCAAGCTATCAAGATGTAATCGTGCCCTGCTACACTCTCCCTCCGGGCCTCAAAACTGTCGACCCCGAACCCAAGGGCTCCCCATTCATGGCACACACCCTGTTCTCACCCCGCTCTTCAGACAACGGACGTCTACAGCGCCCCGATCCATCATACGCGCAAGCGTCTGCACGTTACATGAAGCTTATTACGGACGGCGGGGAAGAACATTCGTTGCCTGCTGATTATATGGCATTTCTATATGATATCCGCAGCTACACGATTACGACATATAGGCAAAAGGCAGGGCAAGCGCTGTTTTTGGCAGTGTGGAGCCCTTTCTTATTGGCGATATTAGGGTTGGGGCAGAAGCTTGCGGATGGCGATGGAAGAGTGCCGGTATGGTTTGCGAAGGTGACTGCCTTGATCTTTATAGGGATGTGGGGTAGCTATGATATGTTGTATAAGAAAGCGTTTGGGGATGGAGAGAGGACTATTGGTGATATGGATGAGGATGGGGATGAGGATGAGGAGAATAGAATAGGAAGTTGGTGGTGTGAGAAGGGGCAGATTACCCTTTAGTTGGGAAATGAGTATGTGGCTTAATCCCTTTCTTTACGCTACTGAGTTTCCTAAAGTATAGGACCTCATAGACGGACCGGAAAGATGCCAGATGCTACACGACTTCTCAGCAATACCTCCTCATAATGGCTCGACATCCTACGAAAGTCACTACTCGCTTGTTGAGCCATATCACTACCGACCCGAAGCAGCCGTCAGGTCACCTTGCCATTCAACGGCACCACCAGTCAATCCAAGACGGACCAGCAGGACGAAGGAACAAAAGTCACCCTCGAGGACAATATCAATGATATGAAAAATGTTGGATTTGGTGCATTGCCATCGACGATCGTGCTTGGACGCATATGAGTTCCGATGTTTGTGATATTCGTCCAGTCCTGAAGCAAAAAGCCTCATCCGATTTCGGGCTACGCTCGGAGTGAAGAAGACTTACTACTCCCGAGATCATCACTAGGATCTCGTCGCCCAGTCAGCGGAACCGTGGCTTGAAGTATGCTCTGATGACCAAAAAAGATCGTTGGAAGAGGGAGAAAAAGCCATGACGGGCATGCAGAGCGAGATTGCCAACTCTGTGGGACTTAAGGACTCTCGTGTACTTGGTTATCTGTTGTGAATAAGTCATATTTAATCTTGTGATGTGAAATAGCGAGGCTACTTCTGTCGGAAAAGTCTACATGCCCTTCACTTTCATACCTTACAGCGCGTTGAAAATATTACTATTATCTGCTTCACGAATCTCTCAATCTGGAATTCGCTTTGCAAACCTTGCAGCATGGTGTGTCATCTCATCATCGGTCGAGTCATATCTAGCGCACTTTCTTCTGTCATTAACTGGCGCCTGCGGTTCGACTTTTTCGTATCTCTCTATCTCGAAGACTTTGTTGGGTACGCAAATAAGCATGGGCAGCGGAATTTGGCCTAGAGGAACCATGCTGTCTCCCAATGTCTTATTAAGTCGCTCTTCTCTTGCATCAGCCTGAGTGTAAGGTGACCAGCTTCATGGTCCGTATACCTCACTAGCTCGCTGCCATTGACACCCAGTTGCCGTCTAACAAACAAATAGTCAGGACCGAATATATATACTGCAAGAATTCCTCCTTTTATACTCCTCCATCTATAAAGCATGTCCTTAGACATTTCCTCTATTACTCATACACGAAATGAGTGGCGATTACCCCCTCAATAATTATAATGAACCCTCTTCCCTCTTTCACCTACCCCTTTCACCTCATCTCACCCACGCAACACACTCCTCACAGCCTCCGCCCACAAAAACCTCGCATACCAATAATGCAGCCACGGCACCCACTCAGCCCACGACTCCCGATTTACCAACGGATTGCACCGGAAACACTCCAGTTTCAACTCTACATACTCTTCTTCTCCCTCTTTCCCCGCTTCATCGTCCCGTTCCTGACGCACAACTGCAAACCGATGAGCGCCTGCAAAGCTACCACTGTCGGAGCCGAATCCGTAATCGACGCAACTGTAGCCGGGTAATGACGGTGATGGTGAGGTTGGTGTTTTTGTGGCTGTGGGCTGTATGTGTTTAGAGACGAGCAAGAAATCGAACAGCATATCCCCTGTAGGCACAAGGCTGTATTTCGAGATATCAGAGCCCTTCCATATTACTTTCTTCGGTGGCTTGTCTTTAAACCCTATATATACCAAACAAACATCATCAGTCAGTCACTCAGTTACCATAATAACCATTCTTTCGTTCAGTACCGCATCTAGGTAAAACAAAAACACCCCTCTCTCTCTCTCACACACACTCACACACTCCATATCTCAAACCTCGTATCCCAAAAACCAATAAAGAAACACAAGAGCATATATATGCACACATACATACCCTGAAAACAAGCAGGCGCCACTCCCCCACAGACCCGCATCACCCACCCCTCAATCCCAAACACCCAGCCCCCGAAAAACCCCTTCGTGAGCAACGCCAAAATCGCCTCATCGCCCAGTCCCGCCACAGCCGCAGCACGCACGCGCACCGACACCGTGTCGCCCTTCGCGCGGTGCGCTCGCGGGTTTATCACGTGGAATGTGGGGGATGTGAGGAGGGCGTGGGAAAAGGTCCAGGTGAATGACTGGGAGTGGAGGATTGAGAGGTAGGAACTATGGAGACCTAGTTTGGTGGTCATTTTGGTTGGTGGTGGTGGTGATGTTCAGAGAGGGACGGGGTTTGATATGTGTGTACTATATTGGTGGTGGGGTTGTGTTGTTTTGCGCTCGGGTGATTAGATTAGATTTTAAGAGGGGAATACAGTATACGTAGAAAAATATGCATGGAATATACGGGGATGGAGGATCTTCAAGGTATATTATACTTGGAGATGTGATGTTCGTGTTTCGTAGTCTACGCACGTACACGGACACTCTTCGGGTATTTGAGGAACGGGATGCCCGTGATATACCGGGCTTCTTTTCATCGAAACCCCAGCTTCAACGTATAGCTGATAATGGATACAGTATGGCATAATATTTGATTCTCCCTTATAAAGTATAGATAAAATCCGGCCTCATATCTCCCAACGCCTCCAACTCCTTGGCACTCAACCCCTCCACCCAATGATCCCTCCTCCCGTCTCTCCTCTTCTTATTCTCCCTCACCAGCAACAAATCAAGCACAATACTGCCTCCAAGTAAAAACACAATCATATACCCTAGAATCGTAGCATGGCCCGAGACATACTTCGGTGCTTTCTGGAATATGTTACTGCTGACGATCCCGTTCAGATTTCCCCAGCCGATCACGAAACCGAGAACAACCCCGCGCTTATAACTTCCTTCGGCGTTATTACTGACCCAAGTTATGGTATTGGCGATGCAGGGGTAAATACCCAGTGCACCTAGGAAGACTGCAGCGTATTTCACACCTACTTTCTGGCTTCCGAGCAACATAGAGAAACCTACTATACCGATGAGAGAGACGCCGATGTTGCAAAGACCGCGCCTCTTTGTTCGATCGGCTACGTATCCGATGACGACCGTCAGGATAGCTGCCGCAGCATATGGAGGAACGCTGAGAAGTTGTGCTTTAACGTTGCTATATCCAAGCTCGGATATGATGCTAGGTAGGAAAAGAGAGAAGGCGTAAAGAGGCATATCGCAGCCCATGTAAATGATCATGCCAAGCCACATCTTGTAATCCTTAATCGCCATCCAAACATACTTCATCTTGAACTCCTCATGTTCAGCTGAAGACTGCTGATCCATCTTCAATCTGCGGACGACACGCGCGCGGTCTTGTTCCGAGAGAAATGTCGCGAGATCAGGGAAGTCATGCACGAACCAAACAGAAGCGATGCCGAAGAGAACCGTTACGATGCCTTCGAGGATGAAAATCCACGCCCACCCAGGGCGTCCGCCTAGACCATCCATTTTGACGATTGCGGCTGCGAGGAGACCACCGAAGGATCCAGATACAGCGGCGGCGGAGAAGAAGATGGCGGCGCGAATACCGAATTCAGAACGTTTATACCAGCAGCTGAGGTAATAGTTGATCCCGGGGAATAGACCAGCTTCTGCGAGACCGAGGAACCACTATTGGGGGACTCAAGTTAGATTTTGTAGAGAAAGCGACGGATGAGGTTATATACGCGAGCTGCCATTAATCCAGACCAATTTGTGACAAATCCCATGAATGTCATACAAAGACCCCAAATAACCCTTTTGATATATTAGCCATGCTCCAAGAGTGTGGTTTGTAGCACATACATTATGAGGGGGATAAATATCGAGGGCCGAAACCTCTTTAACGCAATGTTGGTGAGGGGTTCAAACACGGCATAAGAGACGAAGAAAATCGAAAGCGCTGCATTGTATTTCCCCGTTGACATGTGGTGAAGATCCGCCTGTAAATGGTCGATCTTCGCATTCCCGATATTCGTCCGGTCGAGAAAGGCAAGGAGATAAAGAATACATAGCCACGGGATAAGCGTCAGGTCAAGCTTCCACAAGAGCTTGCGATCCTAAGAATTTTCATTAGCAAGCCGTCAAGGAAGATGGAAATCTTGGGAAGCTTACAACTTCAGCTTTCTCTTCTGCGGTAAGGTCCACATCTGGATCCGGAGGCAAGCCTGCAAGATGTGGTGGTTGCGACTCTAGATGTCCAGCCTCGAGTGCCTTTTCATCGCTGGTTCTTTCGCTGCCATCTTTGACATGAGCGGGAGGGTTATAGACCGGAGTCGTCATTTTGCTGTGTTAGGGTCGCGCGGATTTAGAGTAAGAGGTAAAGATGACGGTAGAAAGTAGCTAGGTGAAGCTCTGAATAAGAAGGTATTCACACTTCTCAGGTCCGTCATGTGTTACGCCACGTAATGATGGGTTCTTTTAATGCTTCACATGTATAGGCAGAGACAGAACAAGCAGAAAAGACAGAAATATTATGCGGGAATGAAGTCCATATAGAGAAAGAAAGAGATCCCACTTACCTTTGACAGCAGCGTCCACTGTCTTTGTTCAGGACTGGGGTAAGGAGGCCGGCTTTACCCCATCTGGCAACTATCAGCGCATCGTGAAGATAATTCTGCCTTTATACTGGCTCGCCCCAGGGGATCGGCAGAAATGGCGTCGGGGAAAGGTTAACCCCGCACATGAATATATACCTACCTAGGGTCGGGAGGTTGGTAAAGTTCTCAAGTTTACAAACAATGACGCATTGGGGATATTTACATGAAATATGTAACTGCACGTGAGGAAAGGGTATTTGACAAAGAAACCAATTGAGAGAGTGAAAATGCATCTTTGTTTGAAAGTGTTGTTGTCCCACCAGTAGCATCCATACATCCGGGGGTTGAACATGAGATGAGGTCTGTTGGTTGGGGAAGCGTGGGGTAGGGTAGGATTATTAGTATCGCTAGGCCTCGGCTTCGGGAGTTTAAGAAACGCCGTAGTACAGAGATGCTGGATCATGTGACATATATTACCCGTAGCTGGTCGCTTCTTGTGTGAAATATGGTGGTGTCCGATACATTCCTACTCTTGTCCATAAAAAGCTGCAATTATGAGGCAAGTAAGTCAGTCTGAAGCGTCACGTGTAGTCCCAGGTGTGTTTTGAGCAATATCAAACAACTTTCACAATAAACACACCCGCAAACCTCACCATTTCTCCAGGTCGGAAACTCGGCTTGTCAACTCTCAATCTGAGTTTTAGTAGCAAGAAGCTTTAAATATCGCCGCTGACTCATATCTACGTCTCAAATATTCTCATATTGCCAATGTTTCTCAGAAACACACCCTTGTGACGATTGCCCATCCCCTGTCTTCGTCAAACCCCAAGACTCTTCACCACCATGGCAAAAACAGTATGCATCATTGGTAAGCACATCCGAATATTCAAAGTCCAAATAATAACTAACATCCCAAGGCGCTGGTCCCTCTGGCCTCGTAGCTGCCAAAACTCTCACGCATGCTCATCCCCCTGGTACATTCCACGTGACCGTTTTCGAGGCATTACCCCGAATAGGCGGACTATGGCCGATCTCCCCTTCAGATTCTTCAGGCATGGTGAACCCAGACATGTGCACGAACCAGAGTAAGCATACTGTCAGTTTCAGCGATTTGGCGTGGGATGAAGACGTGCCGGCTTTCCCAAAGGCGTGGCAGGTGGGGAGGTATCTGGAGAGGTATGTGGAGGTGTATAGGGGATATGAGATTCGAAGGGGTTGCAAGGTTGTGCGGGCAGAGTTAATGGGTGAGAAGTGGGTTGTAAGGACTCGCGAGGGGACCGTGGAAGAAACGAGTGAGTTTGATCACCTGATTGTTGGGACTGGGTTCTTTGGAAAAGCCAAGGTTCCGCAGATACTTGAGGGTTTCAAAGCTCCCGTAGTGCATAGTTCTCGAGTGAGAGATGTCAAAGACCTTCTCACCAATGGCGGTAAAGCTCCCATGGTTACCGGTAGAAACATTGTGGTCGTTGGTGGACAGATGTCTGGTGTTGAGATTGCCGCGGCAGTTGCTCTTCAATTGTCTTCCGCTGAAAATACACCGGGAGAGAGTAGTCTTTCCAATGCCTCAGAGTACTATATTACTCATATTGTCCAGAACCCAGTCTGGGTAATGACTTTATTCTTCCCCAAGGATCCTGTTTTGGACATAGCTGGTTTAGATGGTCAGCAGAAGAAGGTATAACCACTTCCCACTTTTCCTTCCTCTCATAACTTCAAACCGTTACTTACATCTTCCAACAGGAATCAAACAATTCACCATCTTTTCTACCAGTAGATTTGGTCTCATACAACTTAGGATGGCGACCAGAGGGACCAGTACAAAACAGTTCCGGCTGCATATCACCAGAAGCAGCAAATAAGACTCACAACTTTATGAACACCTACCTTGGCACTGATCAAAGCGAATTTGGGTCTCCTTACCTAGCCATTCAAGGGGATACTCGATCAAATCCACCTTTTGTGACAGTCAGTGATGGCTATCACGAATTTGTACGGGCACAAAAGATTAAGATCGTGAAGGGAAAAGTCACAAGCAATGAAGCGGATGCCCTTCAAATCAAAGATGGATCCACCTCATCTCTCATGCAAGATGTCGCGGCGGTCATTCTCGCAACCGGGTTCGATGCCACTCCATCTCTCGACTTCCTACCCACAGAAATGCTCTCAGCATTAGAATTCGACCCAACAAGCGATGCATTCCCCCTTGCCCTAAATATCCATTCAACAGTCAACGCCGCAATTCCATCCCTCGGCTTCGTCGGCTTCTACCGCAGTCCATACTGGGGCGTTATGGAAATGCAAGCCCGCTACCTAGGCAAGCTCTGGAGTGGGGATGCCAAAGCAGCGTCTGCACTCGCCAAAGACACGACGCTCGAGACTATGCTGAAACTACGAACTGAACCTCGAAGAGCGCAGTTCCCTATGGGAGATTATGCGTTCTTGATGGAATCATTCAGCAGCATCATGGATATTAAGCGGACCGAACCTGGCGACTCCACAGGCCGCACAGGATTAGTTCTCCCTTCTCGCTACCTTCCTGACTCAGCCTCCGCAACAGAACGCAAGGAAGCTGCATCTGCACTTTCAATCATTGATCATACCATAACCGCGTCCGCGAAAACGGGAAAATACGTTGCGCGCGCAGCCTTTCGAGCCATGCAAGGAGACTGGACCCTCCAACGCACGATCACAAGTCGTATCGCTACCTATCCCTCCGGCACACTCTCCGGAACCGCGTCTTTCAAGCCTAGGTTTCCGACCGACCCTGCTTTTGACGCGGAGTATCTGTATATTGAGAATGGGGAGTTCAGCGCAACGAACGGATTGAAGTTTGGGGCGAAACGAAGGTATTTATTCTCCCCCTCCCTTGATCTTTCTGCTTCTTTATATATAGCAATGTTGCTTGCTGACGCGGAAACTAATATGATAGTTACGTACACCGCTACACATCATCCACCGACACCCTATCCGTCTGGTTCACAAAACCCGACCACAAGACCGTCGACTACCTTTTCCACGCCCTCGAAATCATCCCACCAGTCTCCGAATCCGATCCCTCTGAACCATGGCGCGCCAAAAGTAGTCACTTGTGTATTGAGGATTTGTATGATGTGGCGTATGCGTTTAGTTTCAAGGGCGTGGGGCTTGAGGAGTGGAGTTTGGAATATAGTGTAAAGGGGCCGCAGAAGGATTATACGATCCGAAGTGTTTATAGACGGTGATGGTAGATTAAGAATCTGGTTATGAGAGAAATAATATCTTGCTCTTCAAGAAACGTGGAGGCATTGAAGTTTTGATGATAACTGCTGCGTTTCATATTAGATTTAATACCCGAAAACAGAACGGCTATAGAATAACTCCACGGTACTCCTTTACCTAGCCCTAGGTACCATGAAACATTATCAACAAGCGATATAACATCGGAATTGACTAAAGCCTAATTCGGGTAAAGCCCACGATTATACATTCCTCGCTTTCTGCTTTGTGCAACAACCACATTCCTGACTCTACGAAGACGATCTTGAGATGTTTACGCATAGGATTGATTATAAATGTGCTTAATGTTAGGTAATTTACTGTACAGTAATTTATTTCCAGATTATGATTTGTTAACATAGAGTTATTATATAGAGTTATATACTAAAAAAGATGGCGCCTCTAAGTGGAACATAGCTCGCCGCTAAATCACAAGAACCCCACAGAGGCTGGCTCCGTTGAACCGTTCCGCTCTCTATCTAGCCTCTGAACAGACTTTTAAGCTGTCATGTGGCGGAGGAAGGTTCGACGGAAAGTTCAATTTATTACTGATTATAATGGAAAATACTAGGTAATGAGCTATATTATAGTTTGGATATACAGATCTTATTCAGCCCACTTTAACTTTGGTAGGGATGGCATGGTTGGGGTTGGCGAGAGAATTAAGGATCACCACGTGCACAGTCCACCCTCATCTTCCTTCCAAGTTCCAATCCAGGCGCGAAGTACGGAGTAGATCTTCTTTTCGACGTCGACGTCCCCTTCTTCCATACATCAATAACCTCACACTCGTTTGTCTGTCCCTCGTTTCTATCGCATCCATCACTATTCACGTAAACACGCGTTCTAGAACGAAAGAAGTCACACTAGGACCTTGCAGCTTATATCAGGAGACCTCCCAGGATTGATGAATCGGCCAAAGAAGGACGAGATCCAATTCAATCGATGATCAACATCCTCGACGATTAAATACGCGAAAAAGCGATATTTCGACAACGAGACTCGAGAATACATCGAAGAGACCCGTTCCAGTGTCAACAACACCACTGAATCACTCTCCGCATAACCACACCTGCGACAATGCATTCCTCAAATTACCTGCCCATCTACATCTTCCCTCTCCTCTTCTCCTTCGCCAGTGCTCAAACTGCTGATGGCGCTATCGTCCCCTTTTCCACGCTCCCAACATGCGCTGCAACTTGCGGTCCTCTCTACGACGTCCAAGGCGCCTGCGCACCTCCCGCCCAGACGTCCGTCAACCAGAATTGTTTCTGCACCGATACGCGCCTCACACCCTTTCTTCAAGGCACAAGCAATGTTGCCAGCGTATGCGGTGCCGCGAGTTGTTCCGCGGCCAGCGATTTGCAGGCTCTCCAGACCTGGTATGAAGGGTATTGTAAGAGTACAAGCGCAACAACATCTACAACAGCGGGAGGAACTGCGACGACAACAGGTACAGCGGGGTCGAGTACAAAAACGAGTGCAGGAAGTTCTGGAAGTACGAGTAAGAGTACGAGCACCAATGGAAATCCGAGTTGGTATGTTCCTCTTCTATCTTCTCAATGTTGAAAATTGAGTTAAAGGCATAAGCTAACCATGTATGAAACAGGCTCTCATCCCATGTAAAATGGGTAGTCATGCTCATCATCCTCGCCATCGCCATACCCGCCATATGGATAGCAGCTATATTCCTACGTCGCCGCTACATCCGCAAAAGGGATCGCGAGATCGAGATGCGTCCCCCTGTGGCCATCGGGCCCCATCAGGTCCAAGCGATGAGTGGAGGATACAGTTATGGAGACGGTGTTGTGGATCAACATGGAAAGAGAAGTGGTGTTGGTGGAAGGGGGCCTAGCAATGGGAGTGGAGGGCATAGTAAAGATATGAGTGCGAGCGCGGTGGTTGCAACGCCTGCGGACGGGACGAGAGAGAAGAAGGGCTGGTTGCAGAAGGCGAGGAGATGATAGCCGACTTGCTGGCTGCTGAGTGTTACAAATACGCTCCTTCGAGTCTTAATGTTGTAGCATACGCCTGAATTGAAGGCGTAATGGATGGTTGGCGTTTGGGTGAGGAGCTTGCCTGGTTATGGCTTAAGCGACTTATGATTGCTGAGCAGATACATAATTGGTCCTAAGGACATATATTTTATTCTATCGCTACATCATTGTCTAGAAGGGAATGTGAAGACTTGCTAGCGATGACCAATAAAATTCGCCGAGTGGCGTATACTTTTCTTGGCTTAGATTGGGTTGCATTTGCTTTTTTTACTCGAGAGCTTCAATGTGCTGCTAGGATGGGAAATGTTGACAGCGATAATCTGGTCATCACTAGCATATCAACGAATGCATCGGTTAGTATGAGCTGGGGAGTGAAATCTTCGTCACTCCGTTTGAATTTATGTTCTGTTTACGACTTAGCACAACGAACTTTATAAAACCCTTGAATAAGCAGACTACAACCCCGTTTTCGGACGTATGAGATGACTTTCGTTGCACTCACGAGGGACGAACATGTCCAGAGACCTCTTCTCTACCTCTCACACAAGCAGTGAGAAGAAGTAGACGCGACGCCGCGTTCCACTCCAGTATGCCTCAACGGAATGGCTTTGTCATTTATACTTATCCTTTTTCATTACCTCGTTTTCACTTTAGATTCTAAATCTCTCATAATGCGTGAAACATTTTGACAGTATCCATTGGCAATGCATCGGAGGTTTGATTCACCTATAGATTCCTTCAAGATCTCTTGGTATGCTCAAGTCCTTTTGAATTCACTTGACGGTCTATTGCAGTGGAGGTCTCCTTGGATTTATCCTCTCTTCTCTACAAGAAGGCCTTCTCTTTTTCTCTGTCAATATTGCAACAACGACGATCACCACCATCTCGAACCACAACCCCATTGATAGTTTCTTAATCGTTTCTTGGTACTTTAAAATCGGGGAATGCCTCTTTGAGTCCCCTCCCACCCTGTCCCCTCAAGTCACCTTCCAACCACAACCATCTGGAATCTCAACCACACCACCAGACCTTCGACGTTCTCTGGACACTTTCACGCGGATCATTTTCTCAGGTACCTATCTCAAAGAATACCCTCGTATCCATTCTCTCCCCCAGACGACCCACTTCTAGCTTCTGCAAACCCCCGCTCACTTTGCCCTGAGTAAGCTCCCAAGCACATCCACAACCACATATCATGACTTGATTCTCACAACAAGCTCTTCACCTTCTCTTGCTACCCTCATGTCCTTCACTTGCCAAGCTCGACTACAGTGAATATAATATCTCTTTAGACCCGCAATCGTCTCTGGGGACACTTTCTCTTCCACAAAAGATTGCTCTTTCTCCCCCAAGCAACCTTTCCACGACCACATCACTGACTTCTTTTACTCCATAGTCGAACTTTGCAGCCGACTGTGCATTCCACCAATTCATCTCTCGATAGTCTTTCATCATACGCCTTACAAAACATGACACCATACCTTCAAGTCGTTTGCCGTTCCATTCAGAACGTCCGTACTTAACGATCAGGCCTACCTTCCTTTCCCTCTTCGCAGCACCCGCTTGGTGTTCATTTTCAAGGACGACCAACTTTCATCATACTCTGTCTTCGGGATCGTCAACCTACCTCTTCACACATCTTTTAATCAAAACTTGCTTGTTTAGAATCATCTCCGCCGGCCCTATATTCTCTACTGAACGCTCATTCTTTACTCATCTTCAAACATAATCACCTGTCTTCAATTGCTCACTTCAATCAATACTCAATCTTTCTTCGCCTTCAGAAATATCAGTAGCATTATCAATATTCTCAACTTCAAACGTATCGAACCACCGAAATGGCTACACTATTGCTAGACCTAGCCTCCAACCTGACTACTCTTGACCCAAATCGGGAATCTTCCGACGCCGGAGTTCAAACGTCTAGGATTCCGACAGAGCAGGTCACTAGGCGCGCACGCTCAAGTAGTGCCTGTCCATCTTCACCGACCGCACCGGATTCTGTCTCTTTCTGCGCCCTCGATATATTTGCTCCCAGTTCTGGCACAATGGTGCCCAAGTCCAACTTCACTTCCGCGTCGAACCAGACGGCCCCGCTTGGTACTCCAGTCAACTTTGAGCAGGAGATGATTGCAGCCGCCGAGAAGATGAAGGAGGCCGAGGAGAAATACGAGCGTCACAAAAGTGATTCGGAGAACAAGCTCAGCGAAACTCGGATGAAGCGAGACGAAGACAGGACTGCAACTGAGCTCAGGCGTGTGGAGGACAGAATTGCCATTGAGCAGAAGCATGAGCGATACATGGCCGAGTCACAAGGAAAACATGAACGCTACATGGCTGAATCCAACGAGAAATTCGAGCAATACAAGACTGCATCAGAGCAGAAGTTCCTGACCTATAAGATGGAAACCGATGAAATCATCTTTCAACATCGAATACGCATTGCTGTTCTCGAAAACGACATTAACTCCAAGAAGGAGGAGGCTGAGCAAGCTAAGATTGCACTGTTACTTGTTGTCCAAACTCTCGGCGGCAATGGACTTACTGCCACAGTCGCCATGCCAACCTCAATCAAAGCAACTGATGCACGTAGTGGGGAACAGCGTATTGGGGAACTCAAGGAGGAGATTGATGGCCTCAGAAAGGAAACTCGCGGTTTGAGAGCCAGTAATCGCCGTCGGGAGTGGGATGAACCTCAGTCCCGCCAAGTTCAGCCTGGTGTTGGAGATTCATCCGCGGACAAGTTGATCGAGGCTTGCGTAAAGGTCAAGGATTGGCAAACCACTGGTGTCAAGATAAATGACAACAAGAAGGCTGAGATCGTTAGTGGACGCTCGAAGCGATTTGCAACTCCTTTCGGCTCCGATCCGCCAAAATACCCGTCTGGAATAGAGATCATACCAAATGGAGAACTCAGAAGCCCAGATGAAAGCTTTGGTTCTAGCTCAGCTACGATTGCCAACATTCCCATGCTTGCTCGGAATCACTCTGCCGGTATCGCTAACGTTGGTATGATACTTAATCTGGAGGACGTCCTTGGTGGCGAGCTTGATGAGGTCGTCACTCCCGCAAGACGAGATACTTCCAGAATTCAATCCCTTAGCGATGGCCAGGACATCAAGGAAGGGGAGAAGACTATTGAGGAACAGATGCTGGAGCATGATCTAGCTATGAAAGAGTTTCAAAATGCCCCCAAGCCCGGCGTCTTGAAGATTGGCACTGGTATTCAGGGTGGGGTTCGTGGACAGGCTTATGTAGCCAAAGAGGGAGGCGGTTATGACTCCAAGGAATATGACTATGGCATTCCACGGAATTATCATAATGTGGGTCGGTATCAGGGTCACGAATACCACAAGCCTCTCGGATTTATGTCAAAGGGCCGAGATTTCAGGGGTTTCATGGATAAGGGGGCACGCGTCAATTTGTCTACCGAACATGAAATGCTTCTGGAGCGTGGTTTCGATCCTAATCTATGGAACTCTATTGAGGAGCGTAATACTGCAGTAGACAACTGGCGCCGATCAGCAGACAAGAAGGAACAGCATTTTCCTGAATTCTTCAAACACAACGTCGTCTATGTGCCATCTGAAGATGACAAAAATATTCTCCGTACTGTTCATATCGGCAATCTTCCTGTGTATATTACGCTTAGAGAGGTCTTCGCCAAAGTCCGCGGTGGCCAAGTCATCCATGGTGTCTTGTTGAACACTTTTAAGCAGACAGGTGCCATGTCCGCGCTGCTTACGTTTGTTAAAGAGAGCGCAGCAGATGATTTTGTCACCTACACTGGCATCTATCCCCTTACATTCGGCGACGATGATGAAAAGATTGATGCATCTGTCACACTCATCACCACACCAACCTACCCCATGAGCACAGCTCTCATCAACAAGCTCAATAACCACGGCAGCACCCGATGTCTCCAACTACCAAACTTCCCAGCGGACTTTTCCCTGACCAGACTCGAGCGTAATATTGGTGGTGATAACAAATACCGCACCGAGAGCATTGTTGAAATGTACTTCACTACCGACAAAACCCTCCACCTCGAATTCGCAAGCATCAACGCTGCGGGAAGTGCGTTCGCTATCCTTACCCGATGGCTGACCTATCAAGGCTTGGAAGTGCACTATGCACCCGATCCGTGCTCTGGTCCGGTCGAAGAGCTACAGCTGGAAACTAAGCCCCGCATGCCACTTTTCCCAAAGTATGGTTTTGCTGACGGTAGCCTGGCCACGAGGGATGCGTATTCTGATAAGATTTACGATGTGGAAGTAAAGGCAATCGATACAATTCCCCGCAAGCATCTCGCTGCTCTCGACAACCAGAAAGTGGACATCCCCGACTTCAGCGGCAAGAACCTGATGGCCACTCCTTGGGCGGATGACACTGGTTCTGAAGATGAGCCGTTGGCCGTCAAGTCCGTTTCAGTTTCCTCTTCAACTGGTCTTGCTCACGCAGATGGGCCAATCATCATGCGAGATCCCAAGGAGGTGGCTAACGCCTTGAAAATTCATGGCATTAATTCGAAAATGAGCGGACATGACCATACGTGGATAGCGCGGAATGGTCTTCTCCAACCACCGGTTGGACTCGGGGGATCGCACTACGCTGGTCGTGAATCTCGCTCCACCATCGCCACTGGAAAGCCTGATGGACGATTTTCCAGCACAGAGGAGCAGGCTATGCTGGCAGATGTCATCAAGAGTGGCGGCGGCCATAAATCCTCAGAGGACGAGGATTGTATGGCAGAGGAACAGCTTAAGATGACAGAGCTGGGTTTGGAAGAGCAGGTGGAGGATGGTGGGAATGCAGAGGAGAAGATCAACCCGGATGAAATTAACCTAGCTTAGATCTTATATATGATATCCTACAGATTCTTACCCATAAAATGTATTTCAGATGGGGATTTCTAGGAGTTAGTTAGGTGGAAATAGTTTTTATTGCATAGTATTGATGTCGTAAGC